TTCGCCTCCAAGACCATTTTCCAACAAATTTACTCGTCATTAGGAGTTCAACCTAGTCCTTTGTCTTTTCTTCTTCTCAATTTAGTAATGTAATCCTAAATCCTAATACACTGTAGAATCTGCCTAAGGTAGAAGACCAATTGCATTTGGACTAATTTCCTTTAATTTGAGCAAATGGGAAAAGAAGAGCAATACAAGCATTTAAACCAACATTGACAATTGGGTTTCAGAATTCTTTAGATTTTGTGGTTCGTCATGTGTTTTTTTTCTTTCCTATTTTCGTTTCCAATATGATTGTGAGGGGTAAGTACTTCTAATTCTTATTACAATTTGACTCTTTTTTTCGTTTGAGAACCTAACTTTAGTCATGTTTAATGTTAGTGGTGAGCAAAAACCCAGGTAATCGGTTTGGACCCGGTAGGTCTAGAACCGCAACCGAAATCGGTTCCAAAAACAAGGATCTAGTTTGAATCGGTTCCGGGTCTTGAATATTTGGACCCGATTCCTACTGGGTACTCGATGGGACTTTTTTTATTAAAGAACTTAACACATTGCATCATGCCATATAAAAAATATAGGCCCATTATCCCATTCCTTTATTAAGGCCCATTCCATATCTCAACTAACCCTAAAAACATTTCATTATCAACCTCCACTCCTCACGCCTACTTTTAGTCTAAAAAATTCTGATCTTCTTTATACTTATTTTTCATTTTCTTTCATCTTCATATATCTGAAAGCTAAAAACATTTAAATACTTCCTCTCTTGCTCAAGATCTTAAGGTATAAGGTATTTCTTTCTTTCTTTTTTTTTCGTTTCTTTGCATATGTAATTTGAATTTTTTTCTAATGTCAAGATAGATTTTTTTTATTCAACCAATACAATTTTTTTCTTTCCATTTCACCAATTTTAATAATATTTGAGAGATTAAATTCAACTTTCCTCCGCATCTCCCAAATCTTCTATTGAGAGTCTTTTGAGTCATTTTAATGAAAATATTTTAATTTCACACAAAATTTAATGGACAAAAAAAGCATATCTTAATATATTTTATTTTATTATGTAGTTTAACTGAAGTAGTATTAGAATTTGCTATTTTTTTAGTACTTTTGTTATTTTTATTTTTGCTATTTAAACCTACCCAAAACTGGGTACGGTTCTAGAATTACTGGACTTGGTTAAAACCGGTTCCAATTTCGCTTCGAATCGATCCGGGTCCTTTGTTTTTGACCGGGTAACCGATTTTTCTCACCCCTTGTTAGTGTATTTTGTTTTTAAGGATGGTAAAGGTTTCCCTTTTGGTTGTGTTGTGTGCAATGGGTATGTCCAATTGAGAGGATTGAGGAAGCAGGGGTTGCATAAGTTATAATTAATATGAGAGATAAATTCATCTCATCCAAAGCTTAAGATCCGTTTGGTATCGCTGTGGTTTTCCCTTTTTTGGTTTTTTGTTTTTCAAAATCATATAATATATGTTATTTAATGATTAAAAAAATTGGTCAAACTTAAAAAATCATGATAATTTTGAACACTGACAACAAAAAAGTGGAAACACCTTTTTTCCCTTATTTTTGGTTTTAAATAAATCAGAAAACTAAAAACAATAAACAGTGCCAAACAAACCCTTTGTTTGTCATTTTGACTTTAAAAGAGGTCTTAGTTAATAAAAAAAAAGTGTTTTTTGTTTGTAAGTGGACTTTACTATGTTGCTAATTAGGATGAAGGGAATATATGTGGAAGAAAGTTTTGGTGTTCATGGATCTCAGTTGTTGGTTGGTTTTTGAGATTAACTTATGGCTTATTTGGAATTTCATTTGAAATTTCTAAATTGAATAAATGGGTTGTTTGGCTAACCAAAGAATTCGGATTTGTATTTGGCACAAATCCATGTCATTTAAGAAATAAACTCAATGTAAAGATTCGTAATTCAATGTGAAAATAAAGATGTCATTTCATATCCATTCATTAATCCCTTAATTTTATCTCTCTCCTCACTACTTTGCCAAATTGAATGTTCAATATGTTTTTTAATTAAATTTCTAATGTGCATTTAAATCACAATAAGGGATACTAGCAATTAGGGTCGTTAAACCTAATTCAATAATTTTTGATCTTTTCGACTCAAAGGAGAAGAAAAGCAATGTTCCGATATTAACTCACACGAATCAATCTCACAATTAGATTTTGTAAACTCAAAACACTTCATTATATATCAATGAAAATAGTCATATTTATAGGCATACAATCCCATGCCTGATAGGATAACAAAACTAAAAGATATAAAACCTAACAAATTGATAAAATCTTCTAATCTTTATCCTAGGTAAACTAACTACCAAAACGATTGGTTTTGGAAGCCGCCCTAAGCTAGTTTCTCAAAATGAGAAACAAATAAAATTTGTTTTTAAATTGGTTAAATTTGTAAAATTACTGGCAAAACCGCTACTTTTAGGGCATAATCGCTACTTTAAATAGTGGTTTAGGGTAAAATCACTACTTCAAGTAGCATTTTGCTAATGAAAAGTAAAAAATGCATTTATTTACGACTTTATCATTTGAGAAACATTATGTTTCTCATGTTTAGAAACTTGGAATTTCTTTTGCTTTTGGATGTTTGTCATTTCAATCCTAAAATTGACTTCCAATGGAATTATTTTCACTTGTATTTTTTCCCAAATGTGTAAATACCCTTCTGCCTAAGTTTTCTAACCTAATTCCTTGATAACTTTTCTCCCATATAGCTTCCATAGAATAGTGGATTCTCATAAACCCCCCCTCCCCATATTCTTAAACATTGACTTTGTATTTGAATTGGCAAACATGTGAGAGGTGTTGGTTTAATGAGGACCGGATCGCTTCTCCTTACCTTAATAAAAGTAATGAATCATGGCCTCCATGCACTACAAGAAAATTACCTTTTTGTAGTGATTATTCTAACCTTTGGTATAGATTGTATTTGCTACAAAAAGCTTTCCCAACGAATAGTTATTCGATATAATATCTGTCGTTACCATAGCCTTTAGTAGTGTTTTTCGATATTGTTGGGGTTGTCCTCAATAATCGATACGAAAAATTACATCCAATCGTGGTGATTACTGTAGCGATTATAATCGATATAAAATGTTGAACTCATTTTTTTCCAAAAAATAAAAAATAAAAAATCACACATATAATCTTTACAAGATTCGAACATGCAACCTTAAGCTCTAATATTAAATATTTTATCAATAAGTTATGACATATTTTATGTATTATTTGTCAAAATATTTGTATATCTAGTGTGAAAAAGGCTTTTCGTATCAATATTTGGGTTTAGTGGCGATTTTAAATGATACAATTTCCAATAATTTTATAAATGTGCAAAAAAAGGGTGGATATGTATTATTATGTTTTTCATATCGATTTTATATAGGATTACCATGGCGATTGTAAAATGATACGATTTCCTCTACAATTTCACAAACATACATGCATATTGTAGCGAATGTACAATCACTACAATATAATCGCTATGAAAAGACATTTTTCTTGTAGTGATGGAGGTAAAGACCAGTGAAATTGTAGAGAGAAACTAAAAAGTGAGTAATTCTTATTTTGGGTTGGATTTTGGAGATATAATTCAACATTATTTAAATCATGTTTTTTGTAAATTTGAATGTTTTTTCTTACTTGTTTATTTAATTGTTTTCTTTAATTGCTCTAATATTAAATTTGAACGTTTGAGAGTTATGATACTACATATCTAGAAGATTCCTGCATTTTGAAGAGATATTTCTAAGGTTGAGTACTGATGATATGACGGTGGAGTCCAAGTTCTTAAATAGAGTACCTTTGCTCTTGTTGTAAACCACCACTTGACTTATAAAAACTTAAAGTATTTAGCGCATAAAAGTTCTTTAATCGGTGTTTTTTTTTTTTTGTGTGGTTGTCCATATCGTGTGGTCAAGGTTACTTATAAGGGTTACTTATTTAGGGGTTACTCAGTAGGTCAAGGGTTACTTATAGGGGTTACTTATTCAGGGGTTATTCAGTAGGTCAAGGGTTACTTATTCAGGGGTTACTCAGTTGGTCAGGGTTTACTTAGGTCATTCAGGGGTAACCTATAGAGGTTACACAGTCGGTCACAGGTTACTTATAGGGGTTACTTTTTCAGAGGTTACTCAGTTGGTCAGGGTTTACTTATAGGGGTTACTTAGGTCATTCAGGGGTTACCTATAGAGGTTACACAGTCAGTCACGGGTTACTTATAGGGGTTACTTATTCTAGGTTTACTTATAAGAAACCCCAGAATAAGTATAAGTAACCCCGACCACATATAAAAATTTGTGTTATTTAATTTGTCAATCCGAGTTAGTTATAAGGAGTTTGAAAGTTCCATATGGATCTTGTTTCTTACTTCTTTGTCGCTATTTTTTTGCCCCATTGCAAAAATGTGGGTCTAACTTAATTTTTTTATTTTTATTTATTTATTTATTTATTTATTTATTTTTTACCATAAAATACTCTTAATCTATAAGTTATAATATACAAGTATATAGTTATGTGAGATTCTTATTTGATTTGTCTCATTGTATATTTTATTAATATCTAATTTTTATAATTTTTACACGTATGAAAATGGAGATAAAATCGTTTCAAGACGCATCTTGGAGAATGTGAAAAGTCAAATCGGGTAAAATATTTGGGACAAAGGGAGTATTTTTTACTACCTCCGCTTCTCATTACTCGCAACATTTGCCAAAAATGGCTGCTTCACATTACTCGCAACAATTTTTTTTCTTTCCTTTTATAGTAAGTTTTTGGGTACAAAATGACCATAATACCCTTACTTTTTTTTAAACACCCTACTTACACTACAAATCAGGTTACATTATCTTTAACACAAGATTAATTAATTAATTTCACCCTCATCCCCATTATATTTCTCTCTCCTCCTCCAACCCTATTCTCATGGTGGGTTTGTGGATTCAAATCGGTGGGTTTGCTGGGTTCGTCGGTGGTAGGTTCGTGGGTTCAGATCGGTGGGTTTGTGTGCTCGTGGTTGGTTTGTGGGTTCGTGGTTGGTGGCTTGTGGGTGGTTTATTCCAGATTTGTGGGTTAGCTAGGGTCGGTGGGTTCGGTGGGTTGCTGCAGCTTGTGGGTTTGTGGGTGCGGTAGGTTCGGTTCGGTGTTGCGGCTAGGTGGTGGTAGGTTCGGTTCAGTGATGCGACTGGGTGGTAGTGGGTGGTGGTTGGTTTCGGTGATGCTGGGTGGTGGTGGTGGGTGGTTTCAGTGCTGCTGGGTGGTGCTAGTGGTGGTGGGTGGTTTAGTTTAATTTGTTTTTTTTTTTGGATTGGATTAATACTTAAATATATGCCCTTATTTTCAATAACTATGCTTAAGATCTTTTGTCTACGAATCCGCAAAACTACTCTTTGTTACGAGTAATGCGAAGCGAAGGTAATATTATTTTCTCTCTTATTATTTATACTTTATATTGTTAATAATTCTATTTTGATCTATATCCTATTAGTTTTTAAAAACTCTGAATATACCTTAATGTTAGGATTATTATGAATCGAAGGAGTATTGAAAGTCACAAAAGATTGAATTGTTGAAAATATGAACACTAGAATAATCCACGTGATAACACAAGTGAAACTATAAAATAAAAAATAAAAAATAAAAAATAAAAAAATGAAACGGATGATAAAAAAGTTGGCGCTGAAAATCTACTCAAATAAACCCAAATCCCAAAATCCCCATAAATTGAGAATTCCCTCCAAAACCCAAATCTCAAAATTTCGTAAATCGCTCCAATTTTTTCAAACGTTCAAAACCCAAAAAAAGACTCACTCTCTCACAAAACTTCCTCAGCACACCAACACCCCTTTTTCTATTTATATTTCAAATCTTCTTCCATTCTTCCCTCTATCTCCTCCCCAATTCTCTCTCCTCCATTCCCTCTTTCTCTCTCATCGCCGCCTTCTTCTGCGAAAATGTCTTCCACTAAATCATTCGTTTCTCTCAGCTCCGTCGTCAACGGCGGTGGTGTTGCTGGTTCTGCTAATGTTGTTCCTGGTGAGATTCATGTTATTGTGGGTCCCATGTTTGCTGGAAAATCTACTGCACTTCTTCGTCGTGTTAAAACTGAAAGTTCCAATGGCAGGTATTGTAATTTTCATCTCTGTTTGCTTTTTTTTCTTTTTCATTTTTTTTAATGATATCTATTATTTGTGGGTTGATCTTGGTTTAGATTTTAGAAAGTTCATTAATTTTCTGTGAATTGGATTAAACTATATTAGGGTTCTTGTTTATTTCATTGGTTAGGAGTAAATTAAGATAATTTTGGGGTTTCATGGAGATTCCATGTTAATTTGTCGATTTAAGGTAATATACTTTTTGCAGAAATCTTTTGTAAATTTGTATCATTCTTAACAGAGAATTAGTTAATTCAATTAATATATAGGGTCTGTTATTTCAATTTTTATAGAGTTTTGATTATAATCATATAAATAAAATCGAGAGTGCATCTTTTAAGCGGGAATTTTAAATGAAAAAAATGGTTGATAATTGTTTAATTTTATTTATTTATTTATATGATTTGTTTTAGGACTGTGGCGATGATTAAATCAAGCAAGGATACGAGGTATGCGAAAGATTCAGTTGTGACACATGATGGAGTGAGATTCCCTTGTTGGGCTTTGCCTGATCTCTCTTCTTTCCAAGAGAAATTCGGATTTGATGCTTATGATAAGGTGTACTCTCGTCTCTTTTCGGTTGGATCAATTGTTGTATTGATAGTGTAATTTGAATTAGTAACGTGACTCTTGACTTCAGACTTGGTCTGTTAATAGTTCATGAATATGTTTATGTACACTATTTAATGAAAGTGTTATGTTAGACCCTGAAATTATATGGCTGAACTGATGCAATATCTGAAATCTTTTATTATATCATATGCTTTGTGGCTAGATTGTGTATGTGTTTTAAGCTTATGTTTGTTGGCAGTTGGATGTAATTGGGATAGACGAAGCGCAATTCTTCGATGACCTCTATGACTTCTGCTGTAAGGCAGCTGAGAAAGATGGGAAAACCATTGTGATTGCAGGGCTAGATGGTGATTACTTGAGGTGCGAAAGTCTGTCAATATTTTTCTTTCTAATGTACTTGTAGTTGATCTGAATTTCTGATGTGAATGCTGTTTCTTTTGATACAGGAGGAGCTTTGGATCCGTGCTGGATGTTATACCACTTGCTGATACTGTAACAAAGTTGACAGCGCGGTGTGAGATGTGTGGGAAGCGGGCTTTCTTTACACTGCGGAAGGTAGGGGAGACACAGACAGAACTAATTGGTGGAGCCGAGTCATACATGCCTGTTTGCCGCCAGCATTATGTAAATGGGCAGGCAGTCATTGGTGCCGTGCTCGAAACTAGCCACATTAAGAAGGATATTACAGTTCCAGAAGTTCTGGAAGCAACATGTGTTTCCTAATCTGGTTAAGCATCTTCATAAGCACCCTTTGCTTCGAAGAGGGTGTGAAGGTGTGCTTCTACTAGCTATCTCGGCTATTACTGATCTAGTAGAGTATTCTTCATAATTTGGTGTATATAGTAGAAAAGTTACTTCTGTGTGGTTATAAGTAGTTAGCAGTTCCATCTTTCTTAATCACATTGCATTTGCAGCTAATGTTATATTGTGTAATTAAGCCTTATACTCCGTATGTAGCTTTTGTCTCACTTTTTAAATCACGTAGTCCTTAATGTTCTCATTAAGATGATAATCCAATTGCAGAAGTGCCCGTTTTACTTCTAATAGTTATAAATAATACTGAGTACTCTGTATCTGTCTATTGCTTTGCTCTTTCCTGTAATGTACTTTTGCTTCTGTCTACTGAGAGTTCAATTATTTTCCCTGGTACGTCTATTTAAAACTTTGTTTTGGTACTGTTGTTGAAATCCACAATACAAAACATATGCTTTGCTATATTGGAATGAGAATTCCTTCAAATTGCTTAGCTGAAATGATAAACCAACATTTTAGTCTACTAAGGGCCTGTTTCGATTTATTGAAAACAACTAAACTGAATGATTGGGGTTGAATTGAACTGAAATAAACTGAACTGAATAGAGCTGAAATGAATTGTTTATGAGAGAAAGAAATTAGGAATTGAACTGAACTGAACTGACTGGAGTTAAAGTGAATTGAAATGAAATTAAGTTGAACAGAACAGATTCTAAATTGGCAACTACTTACATCACTAGCTCCACAATTGGAGGCTAAGGTGGAAGATAAAATGGAGTTCATTTGCAGCGTCTAATAGATTAACTCCATAATAAAATTGCGGATAATAACATAAAAAAAAAAATTAACATTCAAGCTAATATAAGAGGAAGCAAAATTGGAACTCTAATATGTGGATTACGGAGTGTCTAATAGGCTAAGGCCTTGTTTGATTGCACTTCAATAATGGGAGAAATACTAATTCATGGGAAATGTGTTTAAGAGTAGTTGTTTGGTTAACAAAAATGTAGGAAGTGGAAATTCCTAAGTAATTTGGAATTCCTACAAACACGAGAATTAATTTCCCACACCCTATCTTGGTTACTCAAACATCTCACATGTATTTTGAGTGAAATTACATTATTGTCCTCAAAATTTTGGAAAAGTAGTTCAAATTATAATAATACATGGGTATTACATAAGTTAACTAAACAAAACATAGGAAACTAATTCATGAGAAATATGATTTCCTATGTCAACTAAACACAATTTTAGTATTTCCTAGGCAATAAAATTTCCTATTTATTGTAACTTTCTATAGGCATTTAATTCCCAAATACAACCAAACGAGGCCTAATTGTTGTTTGCAGTTCAATTTCAAGTTCTAAGCCACCAAAAACGTAAATTTATCAGACCTTGAAAATCTATTGCTGTTTGTTTATTGTCTGAATTATCATGAAGCGAGCTTCAAGCATAGTCGTCAAAGTGCATTTGCTCTACGCAGAATTAATTATAAGCAAATAGAGGTATCATCAATCTTTCTTAAAACACCAGAGTAATTTTGTTGAGCCTTGGCCAAAAGCTTACTGTAAAGTTTGTTATGAAGCCAGAATTTCTCTGCAGTTCATTGAATGAAAAAAAACTCCTGTTGAATGAAACGGATACTCAAAAATCAAAATCATAATCTATAATATTATTATTAAAATACAAAGGGACAATATGGTAATTTCATGTGTCACTGTTGCATCAATATGATTTGGCGCCATGTCATTGCTATGTGTTACCCTTACGTGTCACTCTTACGTGTCATTCTATGTATCATCACAATAAAACTTTTATATGTGTAAACTTTGTATTTAATTTTTTCTACAATGTAACTTCTAAGTACTTGCACAATAAATTACAATTTAATTTGTAATGGTTGTTGATTCCATAAATGGTATGAGTAATTTGCTAGATTAAAAACCAGTTAAGCAATTACACAGATTATTATTTACATGTATACTATTGCATTTCTCTTTCAATTCCCATATATTTTTTCCCATTTTTTGAATTTATTTTTAATTTAAGATAATGTTTTCAAAATATTATTTAATTTTAAGTAATTTTTTCATTTTGTATTTAAACAAAACTTGGGCCATCGCCCGAGCCACAAACTAGTTATCTTGTAAATCACCATTGATGTTCTCCATATTGCTAAAAAACTAAAACCGAATACTATAAGAAGACTGTTCAACGCACTGTACTATTGCTGAGCTCAGAGGAACATGTTCATCCTGCACAACTAACATCATCTATTCATCTTGGCTTGGTTTAAAGCTAAAAGACACGCTTGTGCTATTGTATGCACAACCGTGCATAGCAAGTCACAGGAGATCAGAACGTGAGACAGTCAAAGCTGAAAGGAGGATACCAAGCAAGCGTGCTCATCAATAAGTTCCTGCTTGTTGCTACTGTTTGACGATGGGCAGTGGGAACGGCCGTGTCGCCTAATACTAATAGCATGACACCATCAAATACTTACCTTCTAATCCCCTTGTGAGTTATGATGACTAGGAGAAACAACCAAGTAAAACTAATAGATAGAAACCTAATAATGATAAACTTGAAACATCTAATAAGAATAATCACAAAAAATTTCACAAAATAAAACTTATACGAAGTATTACTTAATGTAAATTAGAAGTTCAAACCTAATCCAACTCTTAAAACCCACTATTAGGCCAAGATAAAGTTAAGTAGGTTTCTAATTTAACAGAAACTAATGCTCTAATAAATGATCTCAAACCTAAGCCTAACTATGATAAAGGCTAGTCTTTCCCACCTTAATCAGAAGGTCTTAAATGCATTGAGGTCGATGATTGATAGGATATACGACGTTTACGGCCTTAGACTTTATGATGTTATGGATGCAGAGTCTTGTAGAGATAATCTTATGCTAAGGTTGAGTATTAGAGTACAACGTAAGCAGCAAGTCAGCAACCTTTATGTGCTCATCAAGAAATGCCCACATATCACATTCACGAAGTACAGCCCTAAAATTCCATTGATAAAATAAAAGTATATACAAAGTAATACTTCCCCTGTTCTATAAATATTGCAACAAGGATGAAATTACGCATCTCCAAGTATATTTTATAAATATTTATAATTATATAAGAGTAAAAATCATAAAAAGTTGATATTGTGAAAGTATTTTACAAGACGAATCTAATAAGATCCCACGTAATCATATTTTATTTTACGTATAAATCATAATATATGGTCAAACAAGCGTAATGAATAGTGTAAAAGTTCAGTTTTGCAATATTACTAGAACGGAGGAAGTATATGCCTTTTCCTAAACTTGTGATTCACTCAAATCCGAAAAATGCATTTCTAATTTTCTATTCAGATCTTGTTGTGGCATTATACCAACGATAAATCCTAATTAATTGCTGCATACATGAACAATAACATTATTGGTCATCAATCCATAGTTTGAGACACTTGGCTACTTTGACTTTATATACATGCTTCGTCAAATTGATCAATTAACCAGTTGCAAAATTACAACGAGCTGTTGTTGTTACTATCATCATCATCATCAACTTCTGCGAAGTTGATACTATCACCATCAACTTCTGCGAAGTTGTTACTATCATCATCATCATCCACTTCTGCGAAAAACGGGTCCTTGAGGAGTTCAGAGGCAGAGGGTCTTTCCCTAGGCTTTGCTATGCACTTATCAATGAACGCCTTCACCTCTGGATCGTTCACCTTGTTGAAAGACTGGGGCTTAATTCCAGTAGTCACCCTCTTGTATATCTTGGCAATACTATCACACTCGCAGTAAGGAATTTCCATAGTCACCATCTCCAGCAAACACATCCCAAAAGAGTATATGTCAACCACTTCTGTGTAGTCTTCCTCATACAGCTCTGGTGCCATGTATTCTGGTGTACCCAGTATTGAGTGTGCTACATGGCTCTTACCCACTATTGCTGCCAAGCCAAAGTCACCGATTTTCACCTGCATAAACAAGCAGCAACAGCTTGGTCAATGGAACACAAACTAACAGGAAGTACATTTAAGATTCGTTACATTAAAGGTTTACAGAGACGGCCCAGTAATTTTGACACATCATTGAACTAGATAAACATGGAACACATAACAACTATAATGGAACCCAAATTTAATATAGATAAAGGGTTAAATTGCCGAAGGAATTATGGTACACTTTCTACATATGACCTTGCTTTCCTATGTATGTGCTATATGTCATGGGATCACATTTCAGAACAGCAGGTTCAGTAGTGGCTATCTCTATCATTACGGAAGTTTAAAACAGAACAGACAATTCTCGATAAGTTATTCTTTCGAATTACTCGTTTTGAACCCAGCAAAACCAGGAAATTATTACAAACAATGGGAAGGCCAACCCATAGAGCATTGTATCTTTCATTTAAAATTCACATATTCAGTGAACAGCTGACCACTATGAAACAATGATCATGTTTATTTGAGACTAGCTCTAAACACAATAATATTTGATCAAAATCAGAATATTCAGTTGGAACAAAATTTTTTAAGAGATAGGATAAGACAATATACCTCGCCAACATTGCCGTTTATAAATATGTTGCTGCAATTAAGGTCCCTGTGTATAACACAGGGTTCAAGTGTATGCAGGTACTCCAAACCCTTGAGTACCTGCTTCGACCATTTCTTCAAAGCTCTAATCGACACATGACGGTGCTTCTTTCGGTACTCTCTCAGGTTCCCTGACGTGCAAATCTCAGTAATGAAGTTCAGTGTGTTATGCTCAACATGTCTCCAAACATGATATAAAGTGATGATATTGTTGTTCCGAAGCTTGCTCAGCAGCTGAACTTCCTTTACAAGTCGATCAATCACTGACGGGTCTTGGCTGAAATTCTTTAGCTTCACCTGGTTCCAAGCAACCTCTCTTCCTTCCTCCTGATCGAAAGCTCGATACACTCTCTTCACAGCTCCTGCTCCAAGAAGATCAGCATACCGACCAAACCGGCCAGTAGGATCAAGCTCCTCGAACGGTTCTTTATCACCCTCAGGTGGGTCAAGACTCTCACAAGTCATCTCAGAAATAAAATATACCAAACTCAAGAAAAATGTGATTGTTGGAATGAAAAAACCAAGTTCTCACACAACTCTCCTGCATGACACAAACAAACAGGTCCTTTAATAATCGCTCAACCCAGAACACACCAAATACTGTAAACAAAACCTCATATAGACAAAAGAAGGGTACCGGCTTGAATCCAGATTAGTCAGAGTTTAGGGGTATATCCCATTAAATTTATAACTAACATACTTTTCACATAATTTATTTTCATATCAAAATCATAATTTTTACACATGCCCATAAAATTTAACATCAGAGCATCTGTTTATCCGTAAAATTTTTGCCAAATCGTACGAACATACAACTATACAGGTATTTTCACAGCAATAAAAATTAAAACTAGAAAAGCATTATACTAGTATTGATGGCTACAGTTATGGCAAAAAAGTCAAAGAAAAGACTTGAAGTAAAATTGTCAAACAACATGAAAATTCAAACAATAAACAGTCAACAGATAATATTGAACAAAATCAAAAATCAAAACCCCACAACATCTTATCAAACAATAGAAATTGAATCAAGCAATATCTTTCAGCTAGCTAATTGAAACAAAAATCATACACCATATAAAAAAATCCATGAAAAAGAAGTAATTCTAGAAACATGCAGAAAAACCTTATAAAATGTAATTACGAGAAAATTACTGGGGAAACATAAGTATAATTACCAGAATTCAGAAAACCAAAATACTGAAACTTACAACAAAATTAAAAATCGTAAAAAATGATGGGAAATTGCAGAATTACAGAAACAAAGTCCATAAAAAAAGTAAGAAAATGATGAAATTGAGGAGAGGAGAGAGAAAGAGTACCGAAAGGCGGCGTCAGGGGAATACTGTTACGAAAATCTGACGTAGTGAAGAGAGAGAAACGGAAGGGAGGCTTATAGAGTGATGGGTGTAGAAGAAAGTTAAGGTGAGTAAACTGCCAAGGTATTTATAGACTAGTATAGATTGAGATGTGAGAGGTGTTTTAATTGGACTTGGATTTAGCCATGTGAGTAGAAGTTACGGAGCATAGGTGTTAAAAACTCAGCTGATCGATATGATTTGACCTGATTTTAAAAAAGTTTGATTTTAATTTTGGTTCGTATAAACTATAAACACAATAATTTAACATAACTTAGCTTTAAAATACTCCCTCCGTCCACAATTATCTGCAACATTTGACATAAATGGATGCTCTCTATTATGTGCAACAAATTTTTTTCTTTCCTCTTTTAGTAAATTTTAAAGAGTAAAAAGACCACCTTACCCTTACTTTTATTTTTTAATTTTGTTTAACATCTTTTAATTACACTCAATTTTTCACCTTTTTCCCACTCATAAAAGGGGCCCTCAATTTTCCACCTTTTTCCCACTTACTTTAGCCCACCCAAAAACAAAAAAAATAAGGGACCACTTTTTTCCCTCCTTTTTCCCACTTAATTAAACCCACCCAAACTTAATTAAATTCCACTAAATTTTTTGCCTAGGAGTCCGTAAAAAGGACGTTTGGTGCAAATAATCGTGGACGGAGGGAGTAAAACTAATTCGACTCGATCTCATTGAATTAGATCCAATTTTCTGAATTGACATATTTATTACGAAGAACGATTATTATGAGGTTGCCCCACCTTTGGTATTTAAAAGAATCCCTTTATACTGGGATTCTAAAGGGATTCTTTTAACTTATAATCCACATGTATAACTCTCGTCTTGGTATAATTAGTTTGACAAACTTTTAAATAAGATTGGTGTATAAATATTGTATATTGAGTTATATATGTTTAAATGATAAATGACTTGTTTTTTTCACTTCAAATAAAGTGATCTGATATGAATTTTTTTGATTTGATTTGATTTATCATTTTGATTGAATTTTGAGAACACAAGATTCTTAAATAGGGGATTTTTTATTTATTTTTATTTATTTTTATCAACTGATGATCGATTATACTTACTAGAGGTCTACTCTAGGTAAAAATAATTTTTAATTAGTAAAATACAATAACTTTAAAGAATAAGTATACTAGAGAATCAGTGAAAATAACTTTTAATTAGTTAAAATAATTTCAATCCAGTAAAAATAATTTAAGTTCAATATAATTAATTTCATTTTAGTAAAATTAATTTCATTTTAGTAAAAATAATTTCAATTCAGCATAAATAAGGTGGAGTAAACAAGGCCTTTCTCCGTACTTCCTAAAGCTTTTTGTAATTATTTTTTGGTCTTATTTGAAATGTACAATCTTGTTAGATTTATTTTGAATTGTAATATGAAAATATCTACTATTAGAATTTTTTTTTTCAAAATTTATTCACCTATTTGGTTAAGTAATCCTATTTGCTTCATTATTTTTGAAAGATTAAATTGAAATCAATTAATTACTAGGTATTATTCATTTTTGGTTCCAAATGAGCCATTATAAAGCTAAGGAAAATGCCACGATCCCTAGCTACACAACAACGCTAAACTTGGATGATGAATTGATGATAGATCGCATACTAAAAAATGCCATGTGTGGTGAGGTTATGGAGGAAACAACACTTTATTGTCTCCAATAAGAATAATCCCAACTTTATGTTTGCCGTATATAGTTTGTAGAGTTGTTCAAAATCGTCTCTATATATGTTTTGAAGGAGGACATTGGCCAAACTTTAACCTATGCGTTTTTGCAATCTACACTTGTATAGTCGTATATATGAGTCAGACACTTGAAAATAGTGGAGAAGGTAAGAGAATATCTCTACCCTCAACACTGTTACTTTTGCAAGATTTAAACTCCACACATCTATGAGTCGAGGTAAAAAAAAACCTTGCCAAATGAGTCAATTCAGCCAAGTCTTGTTTAATTATGGTATTTTCTCTACTATCAATTATGGCGTACGTTTGAGCATAAAAAAAATAAAAAAATAAAAAAAAACTACGGTGTACCGTGTACGTTTTGGTACTTTTACATAATTAGATATTTAGATTATACGTCGTATTAAATAATTTCCGTTACTCCATATATTTTTATTGGAATACAAGTGACATAAGTTAACGACCTAAAGCTTTTACTTTATAATGATCACATATATTTTTTTGGTGTTTAGAGAGCCACAAGGGCGGGTGATGAGAATTGATCATAGGATCACCTGAAATCGGGAGGGGAGCTCTAACCACTTGAACTATCCCTCACTCTCATTTTATTAATGATTTCGTTAACCTAGAGCTTATATTAGGGTTTAATATGATCACATAATTTGTATAAAAATAAAGTAATTTTGTCATTTAAAAACCATTAAATATTGGGAATTGTTCTAGCCGAAATTTATAATTCAATTTAATTGCGTTATTAATCCTTTTTGGCCATAGCCAACAATTCTTGATTAATTATTCATTATGATGATGCATTCTACGAGTACATTCTAAGTTTTATATGTAAGCCAATTTCTTATGAAACATCTTAGTTTATGAATTATGACTATGTTAATTAGCTAATCATACCTACAATTATTCGAAACAAGGCTTACCTTTTAAAAAGTATGAGATAACTCTTATGAATAGTGTTTGAACAATTATAACCTCTAAAATGTTTGTTTACTTAATTACCCCCATTAATGTTAATCACTAAAAATAATGTGCGGCCATTTATACCCCTAACAATATTTGTTTACATATTTTTCTCTCATTAATACAACTAACAAATAAAGTTATGACGTAAAACCAAATCGAAAGAGATTTCTGAATATTTCTAATTATGGCGCACGCATCGGACGAATTAGCCATCCTAGTATTTGTAAAGTTTTAATTTTTAATAAGGTAGAAAGTGAAGATTTGATATAGGGTAAGATCACGCAGAATCCTCTTTATGTAGTACTAGCATGAGGCAGGATTTAGGATGCAAAGAAAGGGAAGAAGTAAAAAGGGACGTGCAAATACAAGTTGCTTCAAAGCCCATTACATAGCTTGTGATTTTATCAATTGCCGACTTCTTTCTTTCTTTCTTCTTGTGTTATGTAGTATTAACAGTACTCAGTATTGATTTCTCTGGAAACACTTCAACTTGCTATAAAGCACTAACCTTCTCGTGAACAAATGCATGTTTATTACAATTGGTTGGTTGGTTGGGTTAATCCATGATTTGTTGTTTTGTATTTTTACGTGTACTCTTCAACTAGATTGTACCTGCGTCGATGCACATAAATATTCAAATATAGACTATCTTAGAATTAGAAGCGGAAATTGAAAATTATAGGAAAGTTATACGATGTTAATTCTCTATCATTTGCAATTGGGAGAAAAATTGGACATATATACTTTTGGTACACTTCAATTTGGAGTGGTGGGGAGAATATGTAAATTGTGACCAAAATTCATTAGGTCAAACAGACTCAATTTGATTGAGTTACTCATCACCCTATACAAATTAACACAAATTGTTTAGGTCTGAGCCTGATTTGAACAACTCAATCGCCACCTCTACTAAAATCATTACATTATCCCCATTAGTTATTATACAGAGTACTAAATTGGAAAGACTTTCATGTCAATCAGATTTCAGGTTCGTGATATTTGTGTGTATTTTTTAATTAGGGTTTTATATTTATGTTAATTAGTTTGATATTTCATAATTTGATATATTGTGGCAACATGTAAATTAGCAACCTAAAAAGCAAAAATCATAGTCACGCTCTGTATTAAATTATCTCTAGGTGAAGCTGAATCAGTTTCCGTGGTTATGTTGCTAATTATCAAGATACAATGTATCCAAACTTAGAAAGCAAACCAAAGCCCAGAAACCAGCAATCGACTGTAACCGAATTCGACCACATTACACCCTGGCAAAACATGCGATTGCGCTGTCCAAGTGCTTCTAACTTAAATGCAAAACATGTGAATTTCCTTTGTTGAACCTTTAAGCATGAAATTAAGTGATTAACTCTAAAGATTTGAGAGATAATCTGAAAGAAGATCAAAGCAAACATCTGGAGAAGATGCTCGCTCATCACTGGTTTAAAGATGAATTAGAATCACGTAAAGAACGTCCCATCTCAGTATATTTAGGGGTGTAGGGAGTATACTATTAAAGATCAAAACTACAACTGTAAAAGAAGTATTTAAGAGGGCAAACTACCAATACCCAAGCCTCAAATCCACTTGGGTTGAATCACGAGCATGTAAATAAATCAATGTTAAGCTAGCAGTACCTGGCTGTCACTGTAAAGTGACAAACAGTTACTTATCCTGCTCAACTAGGCAGAGTAATTAACCAGATACTTTTCGATAAGAAGCACAACAGTACAACACCACTTGAACAACAAAACTACAGAAACATAATCTGGTCACTCATGACTACGAAAAGTATCTGGTTAATCACTCATGAACAACAAAACCCTGAATGATTAATGTGGTCTGACTACGAAATTTGAGAACATAAGAAAACCGCTTTTCAAAGATTGTGGACTCTGCATTTCGTACACTCATGCTTCACACGATTCATAATGATAAATTTCCGTTGTCAGCTTTATTAATAATATTGGATATCTAATGAACATGATAATGAAAGATAATGACGGTGGTCACTCATGAAGTCATGAATGTGGTAAAATCAGTAATTTGAAGACCCAATACTCTATTCCTGAAAACCCACAATTATTCAGCAGCACAATATCAATATCAGCATGCAAAATGAACAAGTTCCAGAATAATGGCAACCTCTCTCATATAAGCTCCTTGCGTGAAGAAATTTCCCAGACAAACCCAACCTCCTTAATTTCTGCTATACATGTTTTTTCTCTACCTGATGAAACTTGCTTTACTAAATCAGTTCCTCTGACTTGCTAGTTCCCAAAATTTCGGATAGATGACATAAAGCCACCGACCCGTCTAATAGAATAATACGCGATTACTCAGAAGACACCTATCTATAATATAAAACAAAGGACAGTAATATCAAAACTGTTTGCCATTCAAAATAGAATAAATTTCTACTCAAATGCTAAATAAGTATTCAAATGCACAAGAAAATGGGGAAACAGTCCACTGCAGCTTAATGACTAATCACTTATCCTTTGCTTGTTCCTAAATCCAGAGTTCTATATATGATAAAGTGAGAAGTGAGAAAGGTCTTGAAGCTGGCATTTCGGCCGGTTACTGCACGTATAATAAGCTAAGCAAGATGGACATTTCTTATATTATTAAGAGGTTAAAGTCATTCACAAACTATTGAGAATCACATGTAACAATGGACATTTCTTATATTATAAAAAGGTTGAAGTCATTCACAAACTATCAAGAAATCAAGAATCACATGTAACAAAAACAAAATACCATATCATATAGACACACACTGAAACTGTTATTCATGAAAACTTCAGCAGTATTCTAAGGAGGCGCTCAAGAACCTCAGGCGCAGCTCAAAGCATGCTACCTCACACACTCTGAATCCTGATTGGGATATTGTTCAGTTCACATATAAGCTACAGTTGAAATGGCAGATGGTTGCTGGTGAAAATAGAATTGGGACAATGGAGATTTTTGTAAACTATAATAACAAGCACAAGTATGCTAGGCAGGAACTACAGCTTGAGATCTTCCATGATTTTTCTATTCTGAATCTAAACAGAGCCAAAGAGGTTGAGACCAGTGATAGTACATGTATTAAGCAACAAATGACAATTAAGTTAAGAGAAGACCATCAGAGATATTGAGGATTAGGTACTCTTTTTATTTCAACATAAATATAACAAGGATTAAAAGAGCAACGATCCTTTAATCAGCAGAACATTTTAACCACATAATTCAGTAAGAAACATTGCTAAGGATTACAAAGTTATTCCAGGAGACTTATAAGAGATGTAACCAATGATTCAATGCTATAAAATCCTCCAAATGGACCTTCACGGTCTACGATTCCCAAGAGGACAATTTCATAGGTAATTTGTGTAAAGAAATTGCTACAACAGTCAAGAATTAAGGTGCTAGTCGAGTTGAGCAAATCGCGAGCAACTCGAACTTGACTCGGTCAACGCGCAGTCAAATTTTTGAATTGAGTTCCCTTGACTTGGACAAAACTCAAAACTTTAATGAGCACAAATTGAGCTAGCTCTAAACAGCTCAATAAGCTCGTGATATTTTAGAGCACTAAAAGGAGAAAGTTGATACTTAAACTTTAGAAGGAAGAAAGCTTTGATGAGGAGTCGGGCAAGGCATGGGCGAGAAATTTTAAATTTTCGAATCGAGTCGAGTCAGGTAACAATCAGCTCGCAATTGACTCACTTTATATCATACATGTTCCTAACCTGATACTGATTGGTGGAGGAGAGAATAGTTCCCGACCCAAATTTGACCACAGGTTCTAGAACAGCAGCCTGTAACTACCCTTGACATGAAATGAGATCCTAAAATCCAATCTCCAAGGGTTTACAGGCATCTCAGAGTCTCACTCCAAGTAAAAGCTCATACACAGTGAGCAGAAATCATAATTTTAATGATAGTAAAATCTACAAGAAGTTTACGTGGATATTCTCTAAAGAGGCTGCCTCCTCTAGAAAACTACTTGAACGAATACTGTCAAAAGTCAGAACCCTGAAAAAACTCAGAGCTTACATAAAGATAACTGAGTAACAAACACCCAGTTAAACAGGAACATGCAAAATATCTATAAAAGCACATAAGACACTGAGAGCATATGACTGGAAAGCAGGCAGAATTAGAACAAAGTGCAGAATGATTGAAGCAGTCATGTTGAACGGTCAGTGTAGTCCACAAGCACTTGCATTAGAACTATCATCATTTTTTGGAAGCCACATAAAATGACAGAAACAACATTACATATCTTGGAGCAAAAAAAAAACAAAAGATCATCAGATTGAAACTCCAGGAGCAGCAAACAGCAAGTCTACCTGGTTTGTCATCAAGGTCACCCATGCAGGAAGTGGGGGTCAGGCCATGTGTTTGATCTGACAAACGGGAGAACCTCCAAATTTTTGACTCACCTTTTGTTAGTTCTCTATCTAATGTTGAAGAATGTAAATCTCTCAAAAGGAATCAAAATTAAATATTTGAGGGGCATATTAGACACCTCTTAGCCTGAACATTGCAAAGTGGTCAATGTAGACAGCTGAAAATTTCTGCTCTACTGCAATACTAGTTAACATTCTTTAGAAAATATGGCCCAGGATTTTCACACATGTACATAGCAATATAGCACTAACCAACAGTCCAACAGTAGTACGTGACTAGCAAGACATCATTACTATCTCGCTCACCACAGGTCCACAGCACAGATTTTATGGTAAGCAAAAGTTCTGTTCTAATAAAAGGATCAGGGTATAGAGACCTATCTAACAGCACCCCAACAGGCCCAGATGACTGCCGGGTTGCCAATATCAGCCCTAGATCTATAGGTAAATAGCCGGAATACTGTGCTCTTACTCCATACTTTTAAATATACTAGTTTCTACTGCATAAAATTAACATGTCCTCAGCACTTCAACAAGTTACATAATAAAACCATATGAGAAAAAACCAAATTTTATACTAGTCTATAGCATCTTCCCTCTTAAGAACTTTCATAGCTTGAACACATAAGATAGTGAAAAACAACAGAAGGGCTGATCAAATTTGAAAACAGCACGATAATACAATTTTAAACCACCACACATTTAAGTAGATAACAGGTATAAAATTTTGTTGATAAATCAGAGGTACAAAGGCACCAAGCACTTTCAGCAAATACAAAGAAAGATATAACGTGTATTTCATGAAACCATAGAGAAACATAAGTTATCAGATACAGATGCTGAAGTACAAAGAGATCCATACCCGAGAATTAATGTACAACGGAACTTGTTACCCTAAGTTGTAGTTCCTACAAGCCAATAAACTAATTACCAAGGAGGATTAGAACCTTCTCTCACAGAAGGTGACCTGGCAGAATCAATGGTTCCATCTCTAGCAAGCTTTGACATGCTCCTTCCCGGCTTAGGAGTACCTGGGCCAGGGCTGTTGCCTCGATAACTAGCACGCAGAGATTCGTCGACAGAAGCTGATGATTTTGCCATTGCATTCCTCATAAACTTCTGAGCAGCAGGGGAAAGAGTCCTCACATTAGGACTGGCACTTCCACTCCTCATAGGCGAAGGCAGGGGTGGTTTCTCATACATCCTTGACCTTTCCTTCAGCTTACGAGCAGCCTCCCGCGATAAAGAATGAGCTTTCAAATCCCGTGTAGGAGGCAATGGAATCTTGAAACGTGACCCCTCACCACTACCTCCAATATCAAGTGGCGTATCCTCACTGTCCAATCTCAAAGGTGTCCCTTCAATTTCACCCCAAGTGATAAATGGTGATTCATCCGCACCAGGAGCAGGTGAAGGAGTCTTCACAAAACTGTAACCATTCTCAGCCTTTTTCTCAGACTCCACATAAAACACATTCGGAGACTTCCTCAAATCCTCCAAATCATACTTCTTGGTCTTATCCCTATTCCTATCAGATATCACCGGGGTACCCCCCGCTACCATGTTATAAAGAACCTCAACCTCATCCTCCTCTTTCAGTCCAGAATCCGACATCTTCCCATGAAATCTAGTATTATACCGATCAACCTCCTTTGTCAAACCCTTCAACCTCTCGGCCCTCTCATCCGCCGTCAACGGAGCTTCACCCCTATCAGCAGGGTGATACATTAGCAAATTCTTAGCACAATACTTCCAACCCTCCAACGTACTCACCGGTTGATCGGACGTACCATACCCATCCGTAATCCTATCCCTCTTAACATCCTCAATCCCCTTAACCTCATCATCCTCTTCCTTCTCACCTTCCAACAAATACCCATATCTCTCCTTCCTCTTCCTATTAACTTTCTCCATAATTCTATTAAAACTGTCATTATCTTCACTAGTATACTTCCTAAAAAACTGATCCAAACTCAAATTAACATTAACAGAATTCCCATCACCAACCACCTCCCCACCACCAAAATTCCCATCAATTACAGAAGGGGTTCGATCAAAATCAAAAGGGGTAACAGAATTCTTAAAAAAAGTTGAACCAGGAGTTCGAATTTTACCTCCATCAGTGGGGTTCAAACCTCGACGACGCTCAAGAATCTTCAACTGGGCATCACGAATTTGAACAGGATCCCTAGTATTGACCGCTTCAAGCCAATCGATACGATCACGAAGCTTCGGGATGTCAGGGAAGAAGTCGCGCTCGATGATCTTCTCGATTGCAACAACATAGCTGTCTTCATCGAGAACTGTTGCAGATTTTTTAGGGGGGTTTTGTTGTTGGGAGGAAGAAGAAGATGGGGGATCGGCGGAGGAGAGAGAAGGAGATGGGGATGGAGTAGAGAGGTGGCGAGGGGAGTGGCCTGGAGAGAGAAGCATGGTGAATTTGGGCGAAGGGTTAGGGTTTTGGGAAAATTGGGGATCAGAGAAAAATTGGGGAAGAAGATGGAGGAGGAAGTGATTCAAGTGGTGGGTAACGGTGGTTTTAGCCCTTTTTGGGGCGTTACGCGGTTAAAGTCGGTGAGAATGTAAATTAGTTTTTATTTATTTATTTCTATTTATTTTAGTTTATCTTATTTTAATTAATTAATTTTATTTGTTTGTTTTTCTTTTTATTTTGGTCTTTGTACTTCATTGGAATTAAAAAAAACCTTTTTTTTTTTTTGTGTGTGTGTGTATGTGTTGCATATCAATGGTCAAAATCTTGTAGCAAAAGAGGCAAAAAAAGCAATCCATAAAAAGATTTGGCGCCACTCACTAAAATGAGTTAGGTCAAATACACTTAATTATAAACGGAGGAGTATTTGGAAAAGGATTTTGGAGCAATTCATAGGTTGGGATGAGTTCATATATGGAGGATTTGACCAAGTTTGGCTAAAATTTGACAAATGATAAGAGTAAAACGAATACTTTTTCCATCACTAAATAAAAGTCTCAGTTGTTCTATCTCCTTGTACATATTTTTAGAATGGTAGATTTGGCTAATTGATTGCGAATTTAAAAGACAAGATAGTTTGATATAATAAGATTAATAGTATGTAAAGTATGATTGATTAATTGAAAAAAAAAATGAAGATATAAGTAAAATGCGACTTTTATTAAAGCTGTATAAAGTGTAAATGTAAACTGCGTAACTGCGTAGGCTTCCAACAAGTACCTAAAATTGGGCTGGGATAAGAACCAACGAGCCAGAATAATGGAAATCAATAAGCTAATTCATGCATTAATCATATAAAGCTTGATACCTTCAAGTGATCAAATATATAACATACAAAAACCCAAAATGCACAACAGTGCGTTTGATAAATAGCATCATAAACATAGTTGGATATACTGGGATTCATGATTTATATAGTCTTCAGACTTCAACTTCTTTAATTTACATTACTATATGCCATTTGTTATTGGTCTTCAAAACAAACTACAAAATATACAATCTAAGGATCAAGCATCTTCAGACAAAAACTCTACATGACTACATTGTCAAATATTAACCTGCCTTGTTACTACTTAACTAGCTAGCCGCGATATATAGAAACTTTGTAAAAATTGGGCTTACGACTCACCAGCTCAAACATACATGCATCTCCCACCTTCAAGTCATTATCCAACACGAAATACTTCCATCCGCTAATGAGTTGTGCATGTTTCTTCCCAAAATAATATCCGACAGCATGGCTTTTCCCAGTTGGCCCTTTCAAGATTATCTTCTCAGATTTATCACTAGGGAAGTAAGTTGAAGCATGGCTGTTGAATGGAACACTCTACACATCATGTAGACTACACATTAAAATCATGAGACATTATAATGATTTTACAAGAAATGTACACAAAAGAAGAAAAAAAAACAGATTAGTAATCTTACCAGGATGTATTTGTTATGCACATGTGTGGGACAGATAATGGATTTGAAGTGAGGATATTGAGATTTTAAGCTGTCAAGCTTTTTCTTCAGATTTTTCTTCCTCATTTCAGGAGAGATTTCATCATTCCCTTCACATGCAAGAAGAATTTATAATACATTAACTGCTGAATAATTGAAGTTGTTGCATAAACAAAATTTATTGTGTTTGAGGATTTAACAAGGTTTCACTAATTAAGAAAACCATTTATTAGTTCCTTGATGAAAACGCGACAGTACCAACTACCAACTAGTACATGTGACTATTATTTCCCGAAAAACCTCTATTGTTCCTATGTAGTGCAGATAGTTGTAACACTTGATAAAAGATACTGCTTGTAATATATGTGACAAGAGAGAAAAAATTAGCATACTATACCTTTACTTTTGAAGCTTAAACCTTCTACATCATCATCAGAATCTGAGGTATCAAGATTAATAACTGAGTCGAATGTGTTGATTTTTGGTGAGGATTCATCCAACGTTTCCAAGGAGACATCATCGGTCTCCTCAGTGTGATGACTGTGATCTTCTGTAACATCCCTCTTAAGCAGCCTACTGTCAGCACTTCTATTTGATACATGAGAGCTTCGAACAGGATAGTCTATCTCCGTACCACTCTTGTCGAGTATAAGGACATAAAAATGTGATTGTAAACCCCCATCTAGCCTAAATACTAAGAGATGCCCATATTCTAAGCTATAGAACTCCATAAAATCTTGCCAACCTTTGCCTAAGGACATATCAGTGTTTTCTTTCTTTATTTCCACTTTCCATGGTTTTTCAGAATTTGGCACATTAAGGAATATGTCATCAGATAATTGCTCTCCATATTTCTTCACAAACCCCACCGGAATCCTCTGCCATACGGATGAAACAATGACGAAGTTCAATATTGTTAAAGAAAAAAAACCGTCTCCTAATCATGCAAGGCAAGTGTAGTCTAACAGGCTAACAGCATTACAGCAATACAACGTGCATACACACAAGAAGATGAGATGACTTAATTTACACCAAAAAGTCTATATAGAGTACGGGGGAAAATTACAGATTGTAGTGATGCACTAATATCAGCATCATAAGAAGTAACAAAAAAGAACAATACACTCTAGTACCAACTTTTCATCAAGTCTCCTACAGTCCTAGTCGTAATACTAGCATTTGTTTTTAATTCAATCAGTCCACCTCATTTCTCATACATGGGATTATGGTACTTAAGGACACCCCCGATCCTATCGATACTAGGACCAACTCTCCACCAAGGGTACATTAAGGGAGACACCTAGTCCTCGCAATTTGGATCAAATCTCACTAGGAGTACTTATACGTCTACGGTCTACTTAGGTGGGCCCACTTTCATTAATTTCAGAATGAGTAAAAAGGTTTTGCTAGTCAATTTTCAGGAACAAAAAAGTGGCTCTCAGATTAATATTTCCTTGTCCTACTATTTTCAGGACATACTCCATGAAGCATGGAAACTTCTAGGACTACATGAAGTTTCAACATCCCAATCGTTTCAAAAGCTGATTTTTGAGGTTTAGTCGTTTTCGAAACCCGAGCCATTTTTGTTACTTAAATGTAGTTTGTATTCTTATCGTATTAGGTTTCCTAACGTGATTAGGACTAGCCGACTAGTCTTGTAATATGCTATAAATATTGATCAATGGTACACACTACAATTTGAGGAGCTTTTCCAAAATCTAACACAAAGAAACATCATATATGGATCACTCTAACTAAAAAAAAAAAAATACATGGATCACTCCACTGCCCAAAGTAAATTAAGATAAAAAAGTTTAACCTCTATAAAATCTGCCATCATCAAAATAAAACCCCAATTGAATTTGTGGCAAAATGTAGTAACGCACATGAAGTAAATCAATTTCTGTACATCATAATTCAACCAATAAAGCCAGAAAATCACAATATAACAGCAATTTTCGCTTTAATCTTGATTACACAGCACTAATCTTATTTACCCAAAACAAAAATCTACTTTAGACATTCAAGATCATAATTTTAGTAAATTAAAACATAAAAATCGTATATACAAATACTAACAAAAAATAATAGCAATAAAAAAAATGGATAAAATAAGTACTTACAAGACTGGATTTTTGAGCAAGGGGAGAAACAATGATTTTGAAAAAATAGGGATTTCGTTCCTCTGAATTAAACCCTGTTTTTGTAGCGTTACTTTCTTCAAGCGCTTGCCTTTTCTTAATCATCATTAGACGACTACTTCTCATGATTTTCAACTAAGTATTTTTATTTGTCCGAAAATTTATTGAATTAAATGGACTAATAATATAGTACGGAGTACTAGAGTAGTGTGTATTTGAAAGGTCGGCTGAATGATGGATGAATGGCAAAATTTTTAGTATTCCTTTATCATACTGTCTTAATACTAGAAGTACTTGTATTAGCTGTAAGCCTGTAATGAATCAATAAATCAATAATTACTAATGAGTATTATACTGTCTTAATAACAAAATGGGTCATTGGCTCATTGCTTAAAGCCTTATAGGCGGTGATAACATTTGATAGATTTTAGAATACTCCGTAATCAAGGTTTGACAAATACGATTGTTAATAAATTAGAATCTTGATATTAAGAACATTCTTTCACAATTACTGTGTGATACGTAATTGTGTCTTGATTTTTTATTTTTAATTGAAAAATAAAGAATACAAATTTTAGGAGTTTGATATATAAGAGCATTACTAGATAGTACAATGCTTTAATATTGTTAAAATCTTGGCTCCGCCACTGACTACGTGAGTACGTGACACCATTACACCAACACCCGTTTTTATTTGGAACATTTTTTTAAATAAAATAGAATCTATGTATATGTATAAATATTTGATGACAAATTAGGGTGAAGAGAGAATAGAATAGCTGGTCTATTATTCATCAATAGGTAGAGTATTTATACAAAACCTACGCTCATAAGATAGAAAACAATATTCCTAAAAGATATACTACCATAATCATAAATCCTAAAGATATATCATCTAAATAATATCTTAACATAAAATAAATCTAAATATATTATTTCCTTAATGATATCTACGGAAAATATATCCCACAAATATTTTCCGATATCTTATATCTCTGACATTTGAACTTTCAAGTTCATTATGAACACACATGAGTTACTACATCCGATGCCATTAACAAAATTGTTCACCGAACAATAATCCGACTAGATTTGAAAAAAAATCAGAATACTTGAAATTACAAGAATTTGAGAGCAGATTGTTTAATTAACATCAGAATCGAATTAGACTGATAAATCCGATCCGTTCCTTTTTTTAATTAAATAGTATGAAAAAATACTTATAAATAGTGTGAGGACAATTATATTCTTAAAATATTTGTTTATCTATGACCCTATTGATATGATATTAATTGCATTTAAGTTTTTCCTTGTGTGATTAATGATCTAACTCTTATTAATAGTGTTTGGACAATTATAATCTCTAAAATGTTTAGTTACTTATTTGCCCTTATTAATATTCATTGCCTTTTTTTTAGAACTCTTAAAAAAAGTGTGCGGATATTTATACCTCTAAAAATATAATTTGTTTGCATTAGCTACCTTAGTTAGGACAAAGTTTAGACTACTTTCAATGGAGTATTGTTTTTAATTTTTTTTTTTTTTTTATAATTTCAAAACATGAAAAAAAAAACTGTTTCATAAAGTTTTGCAAGCCTAATATTTCCTTTGGTTTTTTTATTTATATTTTTTTTTATCACATTTACCAACACGTACACAAGTTGGATGACTCTAATTATCAGTAAATAAAATTTAAAAACTTATATTATGAAAATATATGTTAAGACGATTCTAATAAGATTTTACATGTATGTTTTATCATAATTATAAATCATAAAAGTTAATCAAAGTAGAGATTATAAATTAAATAGTGGCAAAAGATGAAATGTGGCAGCTTAAAAAGAATAGAGGTAATGACCAATAGTGTTATAGCATAACCTACCTCTTAACCATTTCTTAATGTTACAAAAAACACCAAATAAAATAGGAACGATTGAGGGTTTTTGTACCCATAGAAACAATGAGAAGGTTGTAAATAAATTCTTGAACATATAATACGTAGTGTATAATTGTTGTTGATTGAGTGACTTGGTAGTACAAATATTTTCTCCATTACATTAGACAATATTATCAACTTTTAATAGATTAAATATCAACAATACTCCTAGCTAGCTCACTATTAGTTGCATGCACTCATGCAGTACATTGGAAAATTGAATTTCATAGGAGGATGTGATGTAATCCTACTTCACTGTTCAAATGTCTTGCATAGAATTGGGTGTTACTCAACTAGGCAACTTTAATTTCATGCAATCACCAATTAATTAACCAATAACTTGAGAAAAAACAAGAATGGAGGAGGGTAACATTGCAAGTCTGATCTAGCTTCACAACCAGGATCTTCCGTTCGAGACTAAACATCTACCCATTTGGTTATATCTATTTACGCACATTAAAAAATGAAGATAAAGTTAGTTATTTAAGAATGAGTTGGCCGGATTCGATCTACTAACTTCGAATGACAGAAGGCGGACTAGCATTATAGTCAAATGATACATCACTTACCAATTAAATTGGCTTCAAAAGAATAATCAAACTTGTAAATGGGCTAATAATTTCAAATTATAATAGAAATTCTACTAAGAAATCAAATTAAAGAGGAGAAATAGTTAATTAATCCATAATACAATACATAACAAGTCAATACAAGTAATGACCGATCAATATGCAAAGGAAGAAGCAAGGGAACACTTTAGTGGTTCGGATCATGAAAGATGGTAGCCTTATAAGTATTGCTATTACCATCGACGAGCTCGAAAACACAAGTATCTCCTACGTGTAGCTTATTGTCCCTTACAAAAGTTCGCCATTCAGATCCAATAATACTCGCCGAATAATTTAACTTGTAGTAATATGACCTTAAATTATAGCTCTTTTCATCATCGGGTCCTTTTAAAATTAAATTCCGTCTATTTTTATTGTTAAAAAATACTCTGGCATAGGCAAATGGAACACCCTACACAAATAAGGATATATATGATCAATCATCAACTAATCTTATAAATTCATACTAATTAATATAATTAGGGAAAAAATAGCTAGCTTACTAAGTAGCTAGTTAGGCTTCTCTTACCAATTTTGGCTGTTTTTTTGTTAGAAGATTCATTTTCGGATATTCCATGACAACTTTGAAATGAGGATTTTCTGATTTGAAAGCTTCAAGACTTTCTGTAACACTTGTGTTGTTTTCATCATCCACAACTACAATCTTTGCATCTACATTAAAAAATAAGTTTATATCAATTAGACACGATACGAATAGGTTAAGTGTGGCCTCACCTTAAGTCGCATGCAAAACTCGCAACTAATAAAATATGGAGGAAATAAAATATTGTACCTGCTAAAGTGACTCCATAATCATCATTGTCATCTTGATCCACCTCCTCTTCTTGTGGTGAAATTTTTATCACTTCTTGATCCTTAGTATGATTATCGAACTCTTGATCATACTCTATTTCGAAACAAGTCGTGTCGAAAATAGTGACACGGTATTCATACTTGACCTCATCATATCTAAAGAGAAGGAAGTAACCATAGTTAAGTGAATAGTTCTTCACAAAGCATTCCCAACCTTTGCTTAGCCACACTTTGCCACCTTCTTTAAACAACTCTACTCTCCAAACTTTACCATCATTTACGCTTAGTTTAACGTAATCATTTGCTAATTGCTCTTCATAATACGTCCTCACGTATTTTTCGGGTATTTTCTGCCTCCCATAAAATGAAGCAACACAAAATATGTCATTTAAAATTAATCATCAAAAAACTACTAGCAACAATTTTGCATGAAACCTAAATTAATACATTGAAATAAAAAAAAAATTATAATGAACTTACTAGGTTGTGAATTTGAGTTGAAGGAGCAACAATAATTTTGTAAAAACAAGGTCCAAGTGCATGCAAATTCTCAGGGGTTATTTCTGGAATTGTTGTTAATGCAATCTTCTTACCCTTGCTTTTGTTGCCTTTCTTAAGGACCTCCATTTTGTAGATTATGAAGTAGTGTACACTATATATATATATCAAATAAAAGGCAATTCATAAGATATGAACTTAAGAAAGAGAGTTGTCTGTGGAAAATGTAGAAAGCATGTCATCATTCATCATAAATGCTAAACTTTGTATAATTTTTGTCAGTCTGTCATGTCCCTAACCCTTCGTATGTACCAAATTGTGACATAGCAACATAAATAATTTTACGAGATTTGATATTTTCACGTTTTAAACTACTCGTAAACTACTCGTAGAAAGTATTGCAAGTATTCAAATAAATGGGACAAGTGTTTTAATAAGTGTTTGTAATTGAGGTATACGCTTAATACCTAGGGAGTACTAAGATTAAGTAATGGTTTGAGGAAAATATGTGAGAATGAATCAAACTATGATTAGAGAGGGTTTTGAGTAAAAAAATCGCATAAAACTGATATAATAAATACAATTATTTTCGAATGGAGAGATAAATTGGTGCTTGTATGCATAGAAATAGAGTATGTTTAGTTGATCACTTAATCTGATATGATATGATATAGTCTAATCTATTTGTCCGATTTGACAAAATTTGAACCTTTGTACATTAATTTTTAAGGAAATTTCAAAAGAGGTGTCATTAGATTCATATTGATGTATATTTTTCAAATAAGAAATTATCATAAATTTATTATTATGAAAGTAAATGTATTTAGCCATAATTAAACGTAAAATAGATTTACTCCATACTCCTTATATGATTTGATCTGAGCTCATCTAATCAATTTGCTTATAACTTTTTTTGAAAAATTACCATTTATTGATCCATTTCTCACCTTAGATCTTTAAATCAATACTGGATCAGAGTCATCTTTGTTGTTACACGCACTCTTTTGCTTGTCTAACAAGCGAATAGATTGAATGGGTGCACTCTAAAGTACTACAGTATAGGTTTGATAAGCTGCTGTAAAGTTTAAAGTAAGTGCTAACAATAATACCCCAACAAGAAACTTCACCAAATTAAACCAATTACTAATTTGAGAATAGTGGCACAATTGCAAGTCTTGTTACATAGACAAGTTAGACAATTAGGATTTTGAGGAGATTGTTTATACAATAATGTGGGCCACTTGGCCTTAGTAAGCTCATTGAAATATTATCAAGAGTAATCATATTGTTATAACTTGTACGTACGCACTAGTGATATTAATTTGTGTAACAAATAGGCTAGGGGTCGAATCTCATCAAACTCATTCTAGGAGGGATTTTTCAGCCCTTAAATTCCCCCTTTCTAGGATGGACTTTCTCCTTGTCATTAAAAAAAAATGACATAAATTTGTGTTGACTTTGTCATGAATTTGGAAACTAATACAATGGTAGAAAATAGAAAATTATTAAGCTCGAACTTGCTAAGCCAAGTCCGATTGTTGTTGAATTGTACAACACTCCTTGGTACCCTAATAAGCCAATAATATTCAATCCGTGCTTTAGCTTTTATTAAGATATATTTGGATAACATTAGGATTTATCTTTTATCTTGGTTTTCCTAGGTTATCTTGGTTTTCCTAGAGTTTAAGTTAGGGAAGGAAACCTTATTAATTGTATTATAAATTGATTGATTATGTGTTAATGGAAATCAAGCCAAAGTTTATTCACAATTCATAATTCTACATGGTATCAGGCCTAATTCTTTTTTCTAAACCATAACCATGGCTGGCGGACGATGCACCACCCCCACCACCACCCAAAATTGAACCCAACTCACCATATTACCTTGGTTCCCAAGACCGGCTGGGAGACTTCATTACTCCCACCCGTCTAACAACCGATAATTATGACTCTTGGGCTGCTGATGTTCAGACGGCGTTAGAAGCTCGAAGGAAGTTCGAATTCTTAGATGGCACAATCACCACCCCATCACCTCCATGTACAAAGTCCGATTGGACAACGATTAATGTCATGCTCATCTCCTGGATCACCAATACCATAGATCCCACTTTACGATCTACTTTGTCAAAATTTAGGGAGGCTAAAACTCTCTGGGATCATCTCAGACAGAGGTTCGCTCATTGATTGCGAAGTGTGAGAAACTCAAATCAATGCTTGTTTCTACTTACCATGGCAAATTACATCTTCTTTGGCAGGAATTGGATAGACATGAGCCTTTAATTTCATGTAATTGCTGTGTTTCTTGTACTGCCGGCAAAGCCCACGAAGAACGCCGTGAACAAGCTTACCTCCACGATTTTTTAATGGGTTTAAATCCCGATTTATACTCTTCCTTGGGCACCCAAATCCTTTCTCCAGATCCTCTTCCAACTCTTGATAGAGCTTATCAGCTGGTGGCCCAAGAGGAGCGCGTTCGTTCGTCAACCAAAGACGTCGATTCTGCGACTCTAGAAGCTGCTGGTTTCGCGGTCCGTTCTGGGCTTGAAGCTGCGGCAGACCAGAGTCGTGGCAACTCCCGGAATTTTGAGAAGACCGTTTGCTCAAGGTGTCGCCGTTCTAGTCACGAGGCTGCTTCTTGTTAGGCAGCCACCACTTGTGGACATTGTAAGAAGAAGGGCCACCCAGAGAGCAAGTGCTTTGAACTTGTGGGTAGGCCTGAGAATAAAAAATAGGGATAGGGGCATGGGCCAGCCTGTGCTAATGCCGCTTCAGGTTTGGATTCCCCATCCAATTCAACCTTGGGCCAATTATTTACACCGGAGCAGTGGAAGGCTATTGCGGGTCTTGTTGGTAACTCTCAATTTCCCGAAAATAGACTAATTGGTAAGTTTGATGCCACCTCTTGGATTATCGACACAGGTGCAACTCACCATGTTACCGGAAATAGCTCTTGGCTACTTGACACTCAAAATATCGAATGTCTTGTTGGATTACCGAATGGTGCAAAAGTGGTAGCCACTCTGATGGGCTCAGTCTATTTGTCGGATAACATAACTCCCACCGGAGTTCTCTATGTCCCTAACTTGAATTGCAATTTACTCTCTGTCTCCCAACTTAATGATAATTTACAGACTATTGTCCAATTTGATTCTAATGGTTGTGTTATACAGGACCGAACGAAGGAGCTGATTGGAACGGGAACTAGGAGAGATGGACTATACTATTTTTACAAACCGAAATTTGTGTCACGGGTAGAAGCTACATCAAATCTAGAGTTATGGCATCGTCGTGTTGGTCATCCTTCCGAAAAAGTAGTTAAGTTAATTCCTCTTGTTAGTGGTAATAAACATCATTTGGATTCCGGCTGTAAAGTATGTATGTATGCTAAACATCCGAGAGATAAATTTCTTTTAAGTGATAATAAAGCTTCTAGAATATTTGAGAAAGTTCATTGTGATTTGTGGGGTCCATATCGTCATGTGGAGATCGTTATTTTTTAACTATCGTAGATGGTTTTTCACGAGCAGTATGGATCTATTTGATAGTAGACAAATTGGAGGTCTTTCGAATGTCAATGACGTTTGTTGCTATGGTAGATCGTCAATTTTCTCAAACAATTAAGGTTGTCCAGAGTGAATGGGACCGAATTTAATTGCTTACTCGAATATTTTAGGGCTACAGGTATTTTATTCCAAACCTCATGTGTTGGTACCCCTCAACAAAATGGTCGTGTTGAAAGAAAACATAAACATATTCTGAATGTCGGGTGTGCCTTGAGATTTCAGGCTAAATTACCCATTTATTTTTGGGGGGAGTGTGTCCTTACCGCTGCTCATTTGATTAACCGCACACCATCCCCACTCTTACAAAATAAAACCCCTTTTGAAATTGTGTTCGGTAAACCTCCCTTATTCGATGCCATTCGCACTTTTGGGTGCTTAATTTTCGCTCACAACCAGAAAACTAAAGGGGATAAGTTCGCTAGTTGGAGTAGAAAGTGTGTCTTTATAGGATATCCGTTTGGCAAAAAGAGATGGCGGTTGTTTGACTTAAATACTAAAGAGTTTTTTGTTTCCCAAGACGTGAAATTTGTTGAAGAGGTGTTTCCGTTTGGAACCCTAGAAGTTGCAAATATTCCATCTTACAATTTCCATAACCACCAAGTTCATGAAGACTTTGCTGAATTTTTTTATGAAGAAGCTGAAAGAAGTGTTGATCAAGACCAGCAGCCCACGCCCACTATCACGAACGGCCCACCGACGTCAGTCCACGAAGAAACATGCGCCTCTAATTCGTCTGCAGGACCGACTCTTCTAACCAGCCCAATTTCAGTCTATACCGAGCCCAAAGATACTCCAGGTCCAGCGCACTTCTCATCTGCTGGGCCAGGTTCTTCCCCCAGCCCACATACAGATGAGGCGCTAGAGGCTCACACCCCACTTGGGCCTCCGATAAAAGCAACGGATGCTCCCTCTAAGCCCATTTCTACGGAGCCCGAACTGCTATCTTCAAATCTATCCACAACGCCTAGTATGGATCAGCCTATTGTAGATAGGCCTCGTGAATAGCAGCTGGGCCATGGTTTTCGACAGAAAATTCCCAATGTTCACCTTCGTGATTATGTGACATATACGGTTTTTGCTTATAGTCCTCCTTCTCGTTCTTCCAATCACTCCTCAGGTACTCCATATTCTCTAGCACACTATATGAATTGTGACAATTTTTTTGTGAATTATCAAAAATTTCTTGCAGCCATTGTTAAGGGTAAAGATCCTAAATCTTTTAAAGAAGCAATGCGCTATGATGGATGGCGCAAATCTATTAAAGAAGAAATTCGTGCTCTAGAGGATAGCGGTACATGGACCCTAGAGCATCTTCCTCATGGGAAACGTGCTCTTGGTAGTCAGTGGGTCTATAAGACCAAATATTTGGCCAATGGTGACATTGAATGTCTAAAGTCTAGATTTGTGGTTTTTGGCATTCATCAGCAAGCTGGAATTGACTATGAAGAAACTTTTGCTCCGGTAGCCAAAATGACTACTGTTCGTGCTTTTCTTGCAATAGCAGCTTCCAAAAATTGGGAAATACACCAAATGGATGTTCATAATGCTTTTTTGCATGGTGACCTTAATGAAGAAGTCTATATGAAGTTGCCTCCCAGGTTTGAATGTTCGGATCCATCCTTAGTATGTCAGCTACGCAAGTCTTTGTACGGTCTAAAACAAGCTCCTCGTTGTTGGTTTGCAAAATTAGTATCGGCCTTGAAAAAGTATGGTTTCTTACAATGTTACTCTGATTATTCTTTGTTCACATATACTAACGGCAATTCTCAAATAAATGTCTTGGTTTGTGTGGATGATCTTATTATTTCTGGGAATGATTCCGCTGCACTTAAGGTTTTCAAGGCCTATCTTAGTGATTGTTTCAAGATGAAAGATCTAGGGCCTCTTAAATATTTTCTAGGGATTGAGGTAGCTCGTAGTTCTTTAGGGTTATTTTTGTGTCAATGAAAATATACTCTAGATATTATTTCTGAAGCAGGTCTACTAGGTGCTAAACCCAGTGGGTTTCCTATCGAGCAAAACCACAGATTAGCACATGCAACTGGCGAATTACTTTGGGATCTCGAAGCATATAGGTGCTTGGTGGGGCGGCTTATTTACCTTGTTGTGACTAGACCAGATCTGGCGTATTCGGTGCATATCTTATCCCAATTCATGCATGCTCCACGCGTAGAACATTGAGATGCGACCTTGAGGGTGGTTCGATATTTGAAGGGAACTCCTGGACAGGGCATATTGTTGCGATCAGATAGCGAACTTACATTAGAAGGATGGTGTGATTCGGATTGGGCGGCATGTCCTCTAACTAGTCGTTCACTAACAGGTTGGTTAGTATTTTTGGGTAAATCGCCAATTTCTTGGAAGACTAAGAAACAGGATACAATTTCAAAATCTTCTGCAGAAGCAGAATATAGGTCCATGTCAGGGGTCACTTGTGAGTTAAAGTGGCTAAAGGCTTTATTATTGAGTATGGGTGTTCAACATCATAAAGCTATTAAACTATTTTGTGACAGTCAATCAACTTTGCATATTGCCAAGAATCCTGTCTTTCATGAGCGCACTAAGCATATAGAGGTTGATTGTCATTTTGTTCGTGATGCAATAACAGAGGGTTTGATTTCTCCTCATCACGTGCCTACTACATCTCAATTGGCAGATATTTTCACAAAACCACTCGGGAAAGCTCAGTTTGATAATCTTCTTTCCAAGTTGGGCATTTACGACTGTCATGCTCCAACTTGAAGGGGGGGGGGGGGAGGTATTAAGATATATTTAAGGAATATTTGGATAATATTAGGATTTATCTTTTATCTTGGTTTTCCTAGCTTATCTTGGTTTTCCTAGAGTTTAAGTTAGGGAAGGAAACCTTATTGATTGTATTATAAATTGATTGATTATGTGTTAATGGAAATCAAGCCAAAGTTTATTAAAATTCATAATTCTACAGCTCTTGATGTTTCATTTCTGAATTTTTCATTAGGGTTATTTTGTTGTAACAAATTAAAATCCCTACAACTATGGTAACAAAGCCACAAAGGTCCATGATCTAGCCACTAAGGCTAGAAAATGGGTCTAGCTTACCTTTGGGTTTTTTTTTTTTGAAAAATTCATGGCAATAATCCGACCTTTAGCCCATTCTTTTTAATAATCCGACATTTGGGGGTCTTTAATTTTTATCGGTCCCATTTGACCAGAAACCGATTGAAGAGGTAATTTTTTTTTTTAAGTTTAATTTACACGTGTCACAATTTGATTTGTCCAAAATTAAAAAAAATTAAAAATAAAATAAAATAAAAACCACCTTCCCCACCGCCCCTGCCACCATTCCCTCTCCTCTTCCCCTTCACGCAGCTCCCCTCTCCCCCAGCCTAGAAATCGGCCAGCCGGCGTTCAGCTCACCCCCCGCCGGCTGACCCAATCCCTATTACTCCGACTTCCCCTTAACCGTCGCCCCACCCATCCAAACGAATCCTAACCCGCGAAAACTGCAACCAACCTCCACCTTCACGAACATCAGTTCTGATTCCACCCCTTCCTGACTACCGCAGCCTCGAAACCACCGCTTGCCATGTTTTCTGGCCCCCATAAACCCTATTCCCCCACCTAACACCACCAAAAAATCGATTTAAATCAGAAAACTCGTAACCCGGAAAAGGGGTGCAGTGGTGGTGGTGAAGTGACTGTGCATCGGTGGTGTTAATTGCTGCCTGGTGGTGCGTGTGAGAGCATCAAATGGTGCGTGTGAGAGCAGCGAAGTGAGCTGCTGCGATTGTTTGCTGGGTGGCGTGAGGTGGTGCTTATTGTGGCTGTTGTGGTGGCAGTGAGGGAGCAGGGTTGTGAGTGAGGGAGATGCGGGGGTGGTTCTGCTGGTGATGGTAGGGCAAGAGCAGGGGGAGAGGGAAGGGGATGTAGGTTGGCGGCCGGCGACGCGTCTGCCGGAGCAGGTACCGGCAGCAGGAGGCTGGCCTGGGCTGGTGGCTGGCTGTTTTTTTTTTGTTATTTTTTTTTCTGTTTTTTTTGTTATTTTTTGTTTTTTTGATTTTTTTTTTACCAATCACAGGCCGCCACATGTCATGTAACCTGTTATAACAGGTTATATGACCGGTTGGAACCAATAAAAATTAAAGACCCCCAAAGGTCGGATTATTAAAAAAGAATGGGCTAAAGGTCGGATTATTGCCATGAATTTTTCCTTTTTTTTTTTCCCCTTTCTTTTCTTTTATAAGCCAAAAAAAAAAAAAGTTTGATGAGTAATTGCACCTACACCAAAGTGGAGTAATTTGTTTATTTGGTCTGCATTGTGCACAAGTTTAACGACTACAGAGAATAAATCTTCCTTTTTCCGTCAAAAAAAAAAAAACCCGACTACAAAACTAGATTAAATTATAACCATTCACATAATAATATAATAATTATAAACTCACAGAACCTCTATCTTATAGCTGAATATGTATATATATACAACCGTTGCATATTAGAATTTGTAACAAAGTTAAGCTAGCTACGAAATATGGAAACCTTATAAGAATAGGAGCAAGGATTAATGAGCTCAAACATACATATATCTCCAATCATTAAATCATTATCGGACGCAAACCTTCTCCATCCACCAATTAGTTCACAAGCTTTCCCAATATAAAATCTCACATGATGGCTCTTCCCATTTGGTCCTTTCAAGATTATCTCCTTTGACTTTCTTGGAAAGTAATTTGATACATGCTCCAATGGAACACGCTACACATCACACGCACCAAATAAATAAATAAATAAATAAATAAATCATCACATTTACGAGACATACTTTCACGTTCTTCCTTTTTTTTTTTTTTTTATTGAAACATTATTCACATTTGTCAAAACAAAAATTCAACAATGGTTATAGTTTGAAAATATTCATTATATTCATTAAAGAGAAATCTAATAAAATTAAGAATCACAACAAATTGAGTACATGAATGATGTAAAATCAAAGTGAGTCATCAAAAGAAACTGGAGAACGTAAATGTTAATCTATCTACTAGCTATATGGTGAAAATGCAATGAAAGATAACTAATAAACTTACCAATTTTTTTTGGTCACGAACATTTGAGGGATATATGATTCGTTTGAAGTGAGGATGCTGTGAGGTAATGCCATCAAGCTTTCTCTTAAGTTTCTTTTTCAAATCAGGAGAGATATAATCATATTCTTCACAACACAAGAATATTTCAATGTTAATCAACTATAATAAGTAATAATAGTAGCTAGACATCTCAACTAGATCTACATACTAGATCTACATTAAGGATCTTCTTAACATCATGTTACATACTAAAATAAGTAAGTTTAGATGATAGAATAAATTCAGTCAAAATAAGTTGAATCGAACAAATAGTAAATGAGACATAGACACGTCACAATTACATTAGCTTGCATACCTTCGCTTTTGAAGCTTGAACTTGCTACATCATCAGTACTTGAATGAGTAGAATCTAACGTATCATCAAGACTAACAATACTTGCAACATCATTGATATCTGGTTTGATTTCATCCATGATTTCGACCGAGACATCATTCTTCTCAATCTTTTCTTCTGTTTCATAATTCCTCTCAAGATGCTCGGAGTCGTAATTCGTATCGAAAGAGCTTGATGAGTTTCGAACAGGATAGTCTATTTCCGTAGCACTCTTGTCAAATATAAAAACGTGGAATTGTGGTTCTACTAAGCCTTCATCAAATCTAAATAGTAAGAAATGTCCATAGTTTATGCTATAAAATTCCATGAAATTTTGCCAACCTTTCTCTAAGAATATATTATTATTGTTCGATTTCTCTAATGTCACTTTCCATGGATGTTCAGAATTTTGAACATTGAGGTATATGTCATTGGATAATTGTCTTCCGTATTTCTTCACAAACTCCATCGGAATTCTCTGTGGAATGAGGAGGAAAATAACCAAAATATATCATCTTGAATTTGAAGTATAGTCACAAAAAGAAAGTGGAACAAGTAATATAATACGAAGGGAGTAGAAGATATATACTATCCTTGGAGACAGTAGTGAAAAAGGTAAATAAGCAAATAATCTGAGATAGAGAGAGCAATTTCACAAGTCATACATGAATCTATTTTATCTTATTACAATACCAAATAAGCACATTGTTGTACCAATATAACAGTTTTTGGTACAAAAAACACATTTTATATAAACAAATTTGATTTTAATACAAAAATATACTTTTTAGATACTGTAATGTATGTGATTGAAAACCTATAACCGTTAGTTGTTGAGATTTTCTCTCAATTTAGTAATGATTTTTAGGTCAAACTAATTGGAAATATAAAAAATCTACAATGTCGTTCTTCAAAAAAGACACCACAATATGTTGATGTGGCAAAATCTGATTGGCCTGTATTTGGTATTTTGATTTAAATTTTGAATTATTTTTAATATCCATAATGTATTAAAATTGTATTTATATTACGTATTCTTTTTAATACATGTATTTTTTTTTTAAATACATAATCATAAATTATGAAAATTACTTTATGCCCCTGCCTTTTCACTGCACCAAGCCACCAACATCAACTCCCAAACCATAGACTACCAGCCGCCCGCAACGGCGCAACCCAGCTAGCAACTCACCGCCGCACCACCTAGCAGCAGAACGACCACCTACAACCGTCGGAAAACACATCAGCCACCAGTAGCCCTCTCCCCGCTCCAACCACCGCACCGCTACAACCACCAAAATGCAGCAATAATTGCGACAATTAGAACCTCTAATCCACCATCAATTACAGCAATTCGCTACCCAATGAGTAGGTTTAATCTATACGAAGTATTTACGCATCAAATTCTATCACACTAGGAGTAATTACTAGCTAGGCAAAATCACACGCAATTGCAATGATCCACTAAAATCAATATATAATTGGATTATCATTATGAATTCACCTCCATCCCTCTAATTATTACTCCGTAGGTGATTAGGGACGCTTCCTATTCTTATTCTAATACTTCGTATAATACGGAGTAGTATGATACCGAGAACCAATTACGCAAAATTTTCGGATATTGTATTCTGATCTTGATTGTTGTATGACATACATATACATGGTTTAATTTTAATTTAATCACTTTCTAGTAACCTTTCTCTATTCCACTTACATAAACATCAAGAAAATTAAAATAATAAAGAAATATATATATATATATATATATATATATATATATATATATATATATTTTGATCCATGTACTTCGTAAAATATCATAGTTTTTTCTATCAATTTATTTAATTTAGGTTTAGAGGTCTAATCTTGATATGGTCATAAATCAACAGCATTATTTGATTTGATTATGTTAACATATGCTACATATCACTAATTACTTCGAGAATTTAATCCGAGTGAAATTAAATATCAAAGTCAAAAGAATAATCTTGAAGAAATAGGGGTTTTCATGTTCGTATTAACAAGTAACAAGAATAATAATTCTGAGAAAAGTGGTAAAAATAACTTACAAGCTTCGATTTTTGAGCGAGTGGAGAAAGAATAATCTTGAAGAAATAAGGGTTTATTTTCTCTGAATCATTGCTATATTTTGCGGCTTCATTGTTTTTCTTAATCTTCGTCATTAGCCCAATCTTTCTCGTGATTTCTTTGTTTAACTGTTGTCTTTTAAGCTGGTTATTATAGGCAATTGAACGTATATATAGCTTTCGTTTTATTTATTTATTTATTATTTTAATAATTGGCTACGATTTTCCAAATAAAAGGTCTAATTAAAATATACGGGGTATAAGTATAATTAAACAAAATCTTTCCTAGTTTAGGAGTATGGATTCGGCAGTCTTTTGTACAAGTAAAGTACTGTATTTATGGCTTGTTTGGTCATTTTTTTTTTAATTTTTTATTTTAACAAGGTTAAAACACTAGTGGGATACTGGGATTAATTGAAAGTGTTTGGCAAGCTAGTGATGATATTAGTGTTTTATTAACAATTGCTAAACGTCGACGATTCAATCTTGGAAGTAGCAGTGGCCGCTAAGTTTTAATATACTACACCCTCCATTCCTTAAAATTGTGCTCGTTTATCTTTGGTTATGGTAATTAAGGAATTGGGATGTTTCCGCAATTCTCAATGATTAGTAGTATAAAAATGCATGTGGATGTGCTTTATTGCATCAAAAAATAAGATAAACATGTACTCCTTCGGTTTATAAAAGTTTTTCTCATTTTAATTGTACACATCAATCTATTATGTTAACCATAAATACAATCTAAAAATAGAAATATATATACGGAGTACGAGTACAATTTTTTCGAGACACTATATGAGAAATGCACGCACAAATTTATAGGACAGGGAGACTAGTTAACAATTACCAATACTAGTTTTGTTAATATAATGGTCGTGTTTGGTAAATAGCTTAAAGCTGAACCTGATTGTGTTAGCTAATTTTGACTGGCTAATTGTATTAACTGATTTGACTAACTTATTTTATTATAACAGTGTTTGGTAAATAGCTGATAGTTTAAAGTTGTTTGAGTATGTGAAATGTCCAATAAGCTAATTGTGGGGTAGGTAGTTTAGGTAGGATTTTAAATTAAATGGGGGTATAAGTGTCATTTCACCATAAATTAATGAATAAGCTAATTGGAAAAGCTCCTAAAAGAAACTTTTTTAAAAAGAGCTTATTTAGTGGAATAAACTCTTTGAATAAGCTTCCCACCAAACACTTTAAATTAGCTTATTTAATAGTCACTAAGCTAATATTGATCAAATAAGCTAATTTTGCTAAAATAAGCTGTTACCAAACACAACCAATATATACTCGTATAATATAAGCTTTGAACGGATCGGAGTACTCCGTACCTTTTATCATTCTCCTCCAAATAGCTACCCAAAGTGAAGGTTTATCGTAAAACTAAAAGCAATAGTAATCTAGCTACTTGGCAACATTTAATAATGGTATTTTTAAAATTTTTTTTTTACATTATCTTTCAATGTGAAATACATAATACTATTACTCACACAATTGTACTAAGCAACATTAAATAATAGGAGACTTACACCATTTAGGGCGGGCCTGGTTTATAATGATATAAGAATCCAATTACTACCACATCTTTGTAGAGAGATTAGAGACTATGTAATGCATCAATTGCGAATGATTGTAACCTTGTACATAACGGTCCTAGGGTCGACCAGCTCAAATACGCAAGCATCTCCTACACTAGATCTGGCAAATGGGTCGTTCGGTTCGGGTACGAGTTGGGTCAATTTCGGGTCAGTTAACATTCGATTTGGGTCAGGTCGGGTCATTTCCGATTTTAGGTATGGATCGGGTCAGTTAACGGGTCAAGTTTGGGTCGGGTCATTTTCGGGTCAAGTATGTTCGGGTCATATTCGGGTCGGGTCAAAATCAAGTCGGGTCATGTTCGGGTTGTTCTATTTAATTTGTGGATCTAGCTCAAATCAATAATTTTATATTTTATTATTGTTATAATAAGAACTATCAATCCTGTTTATGAACGTGGCTACAGTTGAAGATGAACAACTTAAATTATTTTTGGCACCAAACATTTTTAGTTCAATTATAAGGTACTTTTAGGTCGGAACATTTCGAGTATTGGCTCTGTTCGGGTCAATTTCGAGTATCGGGTTTGTTCGGGTTAAACAATTCAGGTCAATTTTGGGTCAGCTCAACTTCGGGTCGAGTCAATTCGGGAGTCGGGTCAGGATCGGTTCAACTCTATTTTTGGGTCGGGTATGGGTCGGGTCGGGTTAATTTCGGGTTTCGGGTCATTTTCGAGTCATTGCATTTGGGTCAATTTTGGGTCATAAATCGGGTCATTCGGATCAGGTCAACGGGTCTGAGTCAGGATTGCCACATCTAACCTACACACAACTCATTGTCACATACAAAATTCCCCCATCCAGCAAAGCCGACTTGTGCGAGATTATTTTTGGCATACACATTTAACCTCAAATTGTAGCACTTCTTGTCTACTGATCTCTTCAAGATTAGCTTCAACTACTTGCTCACAAGCGTCAAATGCTCTCTAACGTGGTTGATTGAAAATGACTACATTTGTGTAAAAATAATTAAATTTTAGGTTTCTCATGATTTCAATTAATCTCATTTATGTTTATTAACTAGGAAAAAAAATATGAGCAATTGAATTGATGAAAAGACTAAATAATGATGAACTATTTCACTAGTAAGACAAAGAGATGAAAGAGTAAGTGTGTGCCCCTATTTCACTAGTGAGCTAGTTCTCTATATCTAGCCAAACTACGTAATCTTTAAAAATGAGGCTACACTTACTAGTCAATATTGGTTAGAGACATTATTATGATGCATGACAAGTTTGAAATGAGGCTTTTGAGATTCGAAGGCTTCAATGCTATGCATAACACTAGTCGTCTCTATCTCTGTCTCATCAATAGTGAAATGTCGTCGTCGTCATCATCATCACAAGACGAAATTTCTTGGACTTGTTGAACTAGGTCAATAATGCGATTTTGGAACACTTGATCATAGTCGATTTCACAACCAGACATATTGAAAAGACTTAATTAGAAATATAACACCTAAAAAAGACCCCGATTTTGATAATAACACCACAAAAAAAAGTTATATTATAACACCACCAAAAATTTGGTTTCACCACCCACTAACGAATTTTTGGATGGAAACCGTTAGTGGGACCCACTAGGGACACGTGTCTGTTGTTTATTGGTTTAAAAAAAAGATTTTTTTTTTAAAAAAGAACATCTCCTAAACCCTAACCCAGCCACCAGCCCCACCACCGGCGGCCGTGACTCCACCACCGAAGAACCCCACTACCGCCAGAAACCCTTCCTTCACCGGCCATCACCCCATCGACATTAGCCCCCTCGCAAATCCCCCTTCCCTCTCCCTGAAAAATCACCCACATCCCCCCCCCCGCGAAAACCATCTAGCCCCTTCGCCCCCTCGCCGAAAACCACCCCTGGAATTACCCTTCACCTTCAAACCGGCCAAAATCGACGTTAGAAGCCCCAGATTTAGTGGTGGAGGAGAACATAATTGGTTGTTTTCGCCGGTTTGTGGTGGTGGTTTCCACTGATTGGTGGGATCTGCGGGGGGCTGATGTTGGTGGGGGTGATGGCTGGTGATTTCGCCGGTGAAGGAAGGAGTTCCGGCAGCAGTGGGGGCTTCCGGCAGTGGAGTGACGGCCGCCGGTGGTGGGGCTGGTGGCTGGGTTAGGGTTTAGGGGTTTTTTTTTTATTTTTTTTATTTTTTTATTTTATTTTTTTAATTTTATCTTTTTTTTAAGCCAATACCTTATTGACACGTGTCCCTAGTGGGTCCACTAACGGTTTCCATCCAAAAATTCGTTAGTGGGTGGTGAAACCAAAATTTTGGGATTTTTGGTGGTGTTACAATAATTTTTTTTATTTTTTATGGTGTTATTATCAAAATCGAGGTCTTTTTTAGGTGTTATTTTCTAATTAAGCCTGTTGAAAATGTTGACATAAAACTCAAAATTGGCTTCATCATATCTAAATATGAGGAAATCACCAAGTTTAAGAGAATAATTCTTCACAAACTCTTCCCAACCTTTCTTAAACCATACTTTGTCACATTGTTTTAATAGCTCTACTCTCCAAACTCTACCATTGGCTATACTCTCAAGTTCACATATTGTTTTGCTAATTGCACCTCTTTGTATTTGTTCACATATTTTTCGGGTATTCGCTGCCATCCAATAAAATAAAAATGAATTATAAATATTGATTAATTAATAAGAGTATATAAATAGTACATAAATTATATAAAGACGAGTTAGAAATTTTCGTATAACATATAATACAATAGCAAAATTTGTAGATACATAAGTCACAGATCAACGAGTACGCGAAGACATTCTTTCGATAAGTAAAGGAATTATAAAAACAACTCGAAAAAAAATTTAGTTTAGGACATTAACGATTTAAATTAGTACGAGTAGAATCTAATATAGTACATATAATTTAAATTAGCACGAGTAGAATCTAGTATGAGTACATAAAATGAAAATAGAAACTTACTAGAGTATGAGATTGAATTGAAGGGGAGACCAAGATTTTGTAGAAGTGTGTTCCCATACTCAACAAAATGATAGGGGTTGTTTTTGGAAATATAGTTGATTCACTTTTCTCACCTCTATTAATATTAACAGAGAAATTACTATTGTCAGAAAAGTCAAGCTAGCAAATAAATATACTACAGTACTCCAAAATCCAAACTACTCCCTCTATTTTTTTTTAAATACATCACTTTTTTATGGGTATTTATATTAAATGCATTACTTCCTTATTTGATAACTTTATACTATATTTTATTATTTTCCTCTCTTACTTTAAACCCCACTTAAATTATTTTATCATTTCTCTTTCCTTCATGGTCCCCACTTATATAATAAAAATATTTACTCTAACTCACATTTTTTCTCTTTCATGATCCCCATCTTACTTTTACTATAATAAATTATTTACACACTCACAATATTATATTATTCTCCAAAAACTCCGTGTATTACCAAGTGATGCAAATAAAAAAAAGGAGTATATCACAATTATAAAGTTGGAAATTGAATTAAAATTTTAGGGTAGTTGAAGAAAAATTAAATAAAGTTGAGCCCAACTAGGCGTATAGCTGCTACTTCCTCAATTTCACAAATATTGCAACAAGGATGAAATTACGCTTCCCAAAGTACATTTTATATGTTAAATATCTATAATCATATAAGAGTAAAAATTATAAAAAATTGATACTATGAAAGTATTTTATGAGACAAATCTAACAAGACCCCACATGACAATATTTTACTTTACGTATAAATCATAATATGTGGTCACACAAGCGTAATGAATAGTGCAAAATTCCAGTTGTTGCAATATTACTAGAACGGAGGAAGTATTTGTTTGGGATGCATATAAGAGGGCTAATCGGTAAATTCACTTAATTTTTGTGATTTTTTATTGCTACAGTGGTATTTTTAATGTACTATTATACTTATAGTGGTATTTTTAATATACTATTATACATGTATTTTATACTATTAGATTATAACATGTTTTAGTAGTACTATTTATAGCCATTATAGGTAACAGTAGTACAATATTTATATTACTAGAAGAAAAAAAACAAATTCACCACTCTTGTCTTATAATTGTTATTTACTTGCATGTAAATAGCAATAATGCGCCAATACTTTATTGATATTTAGTGTTAGTAAATGCTAATTGAGCAGATAGCAATTGTCTATTAATCGTACTGTTGCCGGTTGCACTGCCCCAAGAACTTGCTTAAGTCACGTACTCGTAATGTAGGATCTCTAACTCGTACTAGAAATTTTTTTGTTCTTTTTATTTATTTATTTATTTTTTGTTATTTTTCGGACTAGAAATTAATAATGTCATTTTTTTTTCCTTATTAATTGACTCATAACGTTCCTTTTTGTTCTTTAAGCTTGATATATCATGTATTCACGTACAAGTATTATACTTAGTTATAGACAGGCCAGGGCAAGTTTGTTACTCCTTATTAGAGCTGTCAAAAGTTGACCCGACCCGAAAAATTTACCTGAACCCGATTATTAACCGACCTGTTTGAACTCGAAAAAATGGTGACCCGAACCCGATATAACCCGACCGAAAACCAACCCTAGACCCGAGTTAAACCCGAGTATTTTGAGACCCGAACTCGAACATGAACTGACCTGAAGATGACCCAAATTGAATATAACCAGTAAATTATTGACCTGAACCAAACCTGACTTGAACTCGAGAATGACCCTAACTCGTTTTAACCCGTTAAAACCCGAATTAAACCCGACCTATTATTCACCTGACCCGAATGTAACCCGACCTAAACCCGACCCAAACCTGATAAGATGTATGACCCGACGTGACCCGACTCAAGCATGACCCGAAGTTCAATTATAGGCTATAGTTCCCTAGTGTATTGCCGTATATATTGTTATATAGTCCAAGGAGATAATTATCATATAGTTAGGTAGAGTTTAGCCTATGATGATTGACGAATGCATGTACATTGTATATATGCGGTTATTCTCTTAATGATAAGCAAGGAAAATTTTCCCTCAATCTTTCATTAAGAGCTAGATTATATTGGCATAACCGCATAAGCTTGTTTATTATCATTCTAAAATCAATTATAGCCATAGATGTAGTCTTTTTGGGTCTACTTCTAATAATAACTCAGAATATTATTTGCTCTCCCTTATTTTGCTTCACCAATTTCCTTAATTTTTTTCTAAATATTTTGACCTTGCTCGATTTGGAAGAGATATCCAAGAATCAGGATCAAATCATTTTTACTAGCTAAATAATAATTTATATCAAATAATAACCTAGGTTAATGCCTTGAAATTTATTGGCTTTCTGTTTGTCAATACATGAACTGTTAACAAACCGACCCGAAAAAATGTACCCGAACCCGATACGACCTGAGCTGAAATCAACCCGAGACCCAAATTAACCCAATATTTGAGACCCGAACCCGAGAATGACCCGACTTGTAAATGACCCGACCTGATTATAACCCGCAAATTATTTACTTGAACCGAACCCGACTCGAACTCGAGAATGACCCTAACTTGTTTTAACCCGTTAAAACCCAAATAAAACCCGACCTGAATGTAACCCGACCTGTTATTGACCTGACATAAACCCGACCCAAACCCGATAAGATGTATGACCCGACGTGACCCGACTCAAGCATGACCCGACCCAAACCCGACCCGCATAGGTTATGACATTAACCCGAATTGACCCGACCCGAGTTGATCTGACCCACACTAACCCGACCCGTATACCAGAATTGACAGCTCTACTACTTACTAGTACTATTATTTATTCACTTCGTTTTTTAAAAAAAAAACATGGAAATAATCTTCTCTTAAGTTTTTCAATAATTTTTTTCTATAAAAAAAAAAAAATTAAGCATTTTAATCGAAACAAGAAGAATTAAGTATTGTTTAACTCTTGAAATGTTTGTTATATTGATTACAGTTTCAGTGAATAGAATAAAATTGGACACAAATTTTTTTGAAAAAAATAGAAACATTTTTAACATAACAACTTTTTAGTAAGTTTGTCCAAAATTTTGATATATTGTTGTACAAAATTCTCAAGTATATGCCTTTTAAGTTACCATTTTTGCGAACAACTACCGTTTACTTTAAAGTTTGCGAACAACTATCTTATATTGAGTTTTTGTGTTGGTACCACTACCATTTGACGGATTCCATCAAAATTTCAGTTTTCGCAAACTTTAAAGTAAAAGGTAGTTATTCGCAAAAATGGTAATTTAAAAGGTAGTTGTTCACAAATTTTTCTAAAAAGAACACAAAAATTGAAGAAATACTTTTTCTTCTTTTCATTCAAAAAAAAAAAAAAAAAACACACACACACACAAAATCAAATAACTTCATATGTACCCAACTTCATTTTATGTTGCTTATGGATTTAAGGTACGTAAATTAAAGGAGGTCTCTATAAGAACAACAAATGACACGTAATAATAAATTAAGGATTGGAGATGATAGTAATCATTGAGGAGAAGAAATTTACATTCAAAATATACTTCATGAGGATAATTAGTTAAATCATATAGATCAATATGATAGAGAATACTTATATTAATTTACAAAAAAAAAGTACTCCATAGTTAATGGGAATGAGTACACCATTGCACCAAAAAAAAATAAATTAAAGGTTAGAAATCACCATCTCTCCGTTCAATACTTTACATAAACAAAATACAAATCAACGTTTATACCATTATACATAGATTACATACCTATTTTGATTATGGATTTAGTTAAGCTGAGCTAGACTAACTTACTAATCGGCTCGAAAGACGGTCACCTTGTACATATTGCTACGACGGTCCACCAGCTCGAAAACACAAGCATCTCCTAGCTTCAACTTATTGCCATGCACGAAATTTCGCCACCCAAACCGGAGTTCTGCTAACATAATTTTCTTTGGAGTCTTTCTCTTATACACATTTAATCGTACGTTGTAGCTCTTCTCATCTGGTCCTAGGAGGATTATCTCCTTCTCATCCATACCCTTTAAATGTTTTCTGAGGTAGCTCATTGGAATTGCCTAAACGTATCACATATGTACATGTTGGATTAGATCAACACAACTGAGGTTACAGTAATAATATTTTTACTCGATTATAGACATATTCTAGGATAAATATAACCAACCAATCAATCTCATGACAAATAAAAACAGATTGGAAAATTATACTGTATGTAAGATTTTGCTTACCATTCGATATAACTTATTGGAGATATAGCTACGACGCATGATAACTTTAAAATGAGGGTTTTGAGAATTGAAGGCTTCAAGCCTTTCCATAACACTTGTCTTATCACCAGCCACAACGACTAAATGAAAAAAAAAAGAAAGAAAAAAGGTAAGGAGATGTATTAAAAGCCTGTTTATAACATTTTTCATTCGGTCTTTTCCTATATGTTTATTAAGGCTTATCTTCAATAAACATATAACTTGATCCAATTCAAACATGACCAACAGCAAAGTAATAGAGTGAATGAACCAATCCCACATTCAATCCGAACTCTATCTAACCCCAATGAAATTGCACATTAGTGACATTATGTACTGTTGTTTGGTCTGGGAATTTAATTCCCATAGGAATTTATAATTCATGGAAAGTTAATTACTTAATGAAATTCCTACGAATTTGTTAAATGTGTTTGGTTAGCAATAAGGGATATTGAAATTCCCATGAATTTTGGTTTACCTAAGGGGGACTTGGAAATTTACTTCCCATGTTTTGTGAGAAATTGAAATTCCCATGAATTCCGAATTTTCCTATTTTTGCTGTTTTATATCAACCAAACAACTACCTATTTTATCAATACCCATAAATTTCTAATTTCCCCATTTTATAATGTCAACCAAACAAGACCAAGTATGAGTGTATGACCTATTCAAACCTTGATTTTACTCAAAATAACTTGATCCACCAATATCTAACTAGTTACAAAATTATAAAGATGATATGACTAGATTTATTTTGATTTGAGTTTGAAAACGCTCATCAGCACAAACTTATTCTGAACACAAAGTGACGACGCCTGAATCCGAATTGAACCAAACCAAATTTGACTTTTTCCACACTTTACAAATTCCGAAAGGATAATGTACTCGACATTACTTGAATTGACCGTAATTTAACTTGACATTTTTTTTTTCTTTGGCAGGAACTTGACATAAATTAAATTAAAATTTTGCTATTAACTCCTCACACCGTCCAAGTTAAATTTTATTTTCGTGGACGTTAAGTTTAAAGACAAATCAATATCACCAAATAATATAATATAACAACACCATGTACAATAAGCACCGTTCTATTTACCTTATTCCACATGTCTTTAGAAAAATGAGTTCAAAAATCAATTTGAATAAGTTCACGAGAGATACCCAAGTTCAATTTTACAACTACAATAAGGTACTCCGTATAATATTATTAGTTAAGTCCAGATAAGTTTAAAAAATAATTTCCTATAAGATCAGATAATTAAGTTCATATAAGCAAAAATTTAGTAAATAAAACGGACCATAATTATGAATACCCGGTGAAATCGCAGTGTCCTGATCATCTTGAGCAATCATCTCGTCATCATGAGACGAAATTTCAATGATTTCTTGAGCTTTGATATAATTATGGTACACTTGATCATACTCAATTTCACAACCATTCATGCCAAAAATAGTAATATGGAACGTTGAATCACTTTCATCATACTTAAATAAGAGTAAGTTACCATATTTCAGCGAATAACACTTCACAACCTTTTCCCAACCTTTGGTAAGCCACACTTCTCCCCTTTCTTTAAATAACTCCACTCTCCAAACTCTACCATCAGCAACTCTAAGCTTCACATAATCATTTACTAATTGCTCTTCGTACTTCTTCACGTATGTTTCGGGAATTCTCTGTAAAATAATTTGTTCAAATTTCATTATTAACATTTGTCAAAAATAATTTACATTATTAACGTATCAACTAATTCTGAACAAAGTATTAAATTACGTACGTATGCGCAAGGACAAAACAAATTAAAGTAACTTACTAGCTTGTGGTTTTGAGTAGAAGGAGCCACCATGATTTTGTAGAAATATGACTTAAATGTTACGGGTTTTTGTAATTTTACCACATACCATCCAATTTATGGTAACTTTTAACTAAATTTGGAAAAAATTACAATTCGAACATTACTTGGATTAACATTTTATGTTTTTTTTGGTGAAAGAGAACTACATTAAAATAAGATCAAGGTTTCAGTACAAAAGCATAGACAGTAGCAAGTTAGGTGACAAGCCACCATTAGTTAGGGTGCCACACAGGGGCCAAAAGAAACACTAGAGTTTATATCAAGTTCCTCATTATTAGCCAAAAAGTTTGCTGAATACATCAGAAAGTTAAAGTTTAGCAGCCAAGGCAAATCCGGGTGTTGAGTGGTGCTAGATGGAGTTAGAATCCTCCTTGCTTTCCTGGCCAGAGTGGTCTTGGAACATTCACCAATTTTGTTTTCCTACTGCTTTTCCTTCGTTCCTAGATCAAAAGGGACCTGCACTTTGTGATGTAAGCTTGAACTACTCTATGTTTTCTAGCTGATTAATCTATGCTACCCTTTAACAAAATTATTAATCAAACGGGTCCCACTTCGGAGGAAATGACAAGAGCCTCGCTACCTTCATGGACTTCATGAAGGCTCAAGCGAATCAGCGTCTCCCACCTCCTCCTCCCTAGGTACATGCTGGCTCCATAGAGCAGCCAAGGTACCTAAGGAGGGGAACAAGACAGGAAGAGGGAGAGGGATTCCATCTTTCAAGGAGCTTGAGCATTGGGACGAAGATACTTGGAGAACTGAACGAGAAAGAAAAAGAAACCCACAGTTCTTCAAAGGGTTCGAACCCCGAAGCTTCAAAAGTAGCAACACCGCATCCACGCGGCAAGAGTCTACTCACCGAAACGTTCACCGACGTATTGACCCTAGGGAGGGGAGCGTACACAGTCGCCTCACCTACCCTGAAGGTACCGCACCTTACCCTGCACCGTCCCAGCCGAGGACGAAAATCACTTCTACCTCTCTAAGAGGGGGAAGCGAGGTCCCAACGACTAGGAACAAGGGGAAGGCAGTGATGGTTCCCTCCAGTTCTCCATTCCAGAGTTGGATTTTGGAAGAGCATATGCCGACGGTGAAAATTCCGGCACACATCACATATGATGGTACTTCGGATTCGATGGACCACATTGCCTCTTATGAGGGGCACATGTACCTGAACCTCAAGTCCAAAGCGACCTGGTGAAAATACTTTACGACCACTCTAAAGGGTGTTGTACAAGCGTGGATCACCAAAGGAGTGAAGGAGGGTTCGATAACTGGTTGGAAAGACCTTTCCAACAAGTTCAAGAGCAAGTTTTCTATGGAAAACCACCGAGAAAAAACAACTGCAGAGATGATGAGTCTGCAGCAAGGGGAGGATGAAAGCCTCCGAGACTATCTGACTCGCTTCAGCAATGAGTCGTCCAAAATACAAGTCTGGACCAAGGGCTAGCCATTTACGCGCTGCAGAACGTGCTACAGAATGGAAAGTTCCTCGACTTAATGGTCATGCACACCCTGGAGGAAGCTCTTGATGCTTCGGATAAGTACATCCGAGTTGAAGAGTGGAACAAGACCAAGTCCCAATCTCAAACTAGGACTGGTAAGGCAAAAGGACAACAGTCCGAAGGCCAGGGCCAGAGGAAAGGGAAGGCAAAAGCCTCAGAACCGCCCTCGGTAGCTGAGCCAAAAAAAGAAAAATCCCCATTCGTCAATACGAATCCTACACTCCTCTCGCTTTCCGCATGCTAAAATTTACAGCATAACAAAGAACGAGGAGAATTGGAAGAAGCCGAGGCCACTCCCATCGTGGGATCAAAATAAAAATAAAGACCGATGGTGTGAGTTCCATGGGTCTCTTGGACATCACACCGAGGACTGTATCCAGCTGAGGGATCAGATTGAGGATATATGGTCCGAAAGGGTTACATGAAAAAATATCTCTCAGATCTCCGCGAAGAGAAAAAAGCTGAGCAAGACTCTCGGCTACAACTGGATTTCAACCGAAAAAAAGACAAGCCGCATGATAAAGTGCATCTTGACATCCTTGTCATTTCTGGGGACGAGCTCCCGAAATGCTCGAAAGCGCCACTTGAGGGGTCTGACCCATCAAGTCAACCATGCCTCCATCCGAGGTCCCTAGTCTCTGGTGCCGAACATTACGTTCACAGCTGAAGACTGCTGGGGGGTAACATACCCCCATGATGATCCGCTGGTAATCATCACGGGAATTTCTAACCACAACGTCTGGAGAACCCTCGTCAGCGGTGGTAGCGGAGCAAACATCCTGTTTCGGGATGCTTTCGACCAACTGAAGCTGCAGTCTAAGGACCTAAGTCTAGTACCTTACTCGGTATTTGGATTTAACGGTTCAGCGACATATCCGGATGGGAAAATCACACTTCTCGTCACCATCGGCAGAGATCGAGTAGCTCGGAACGTGATGACCAAATTTTTGGTCATGGACGTTCCATCTATTTATAACGTGATCATGGGGAGACCCATGATACATCAGATTCAAGGAGTGGTCTCAACGTACCATCAAATGATGATATATGTTTCTGACGAAGACTACTCCGAAAGAATTCAGGGAAGCTAAGAGGCTGCCCGAAAATGCAGTTACCTCAAGCCATCCAAAGAGCGTCGTGAAGAAAAGGATGATGAGGAAAAAGAGAAAAAGAAATACCGAAGCACCAAGAAGCAGAAAAGCTTAAGTGCTTTGGCCTAGGGGACCCCCACCCAAGAAAAATCTAAGGGGAAAGGAAAGGCTGGCTCCTCATCCGAACCAAAGGATTCGAAAAGCCAACCGAAGTCTGGGACGCCTACCGACATCGATAGCAGGCCGGATTGTGAAGAGTCTGGTTCCAAAGCAATGGAGCTGGACCAGCAGACTGAGTCAATTGTGTTGACCGAAGGAGACCTAGAAAAATGTGTCAGCATCGGGTTCGGACTCCATCCGAGTTGAATTTATTTAGCTCCTTTGGGATAATCGAGATGTGTTCGCTTTCTCAGCAGCAGACATGCCTGGGATTGATCCGAAACTTATCTCCCACAAGATGAACGTTGACCCCACCTGTCGACCGATTAAGAAAAAGAAGTGGAATTACTCCGCTAATAAGAATCGAGACATCGCAGCCTAAGTCAAAAAACTTCTTGATGCAGGTTTCATTGAACCCTGTTAATATCCAGAATGGTTGGCCAATGTGGTAATGGTTCATAAGGCAAATGACACCCGGAGAATGTGCGTTGACTTCACGGGCCTAAATAGGGCTTATCCGAAGGACTTCTATCCCTTGCTGAGGATCGATCAGCTAGTCGATTCGACAAGTGGCCATGCTCTACTTAGTTTCATGGATGCATTCTCCGGGCATCATCAAATCTTTATGCACCCCGACGACCGAGTAAAAACGACATTCGTTATGAATGCCGGGGTGTACAACTACAAAATGATGCCCTTCGGATTGAAAAATGTCGGGGCAACATATCAAAGGCTGGTTGATCAGGTCTTTGTCGAGCAAAAAGGCCGCAACATGGAAGTCTATGTTGACGATTTCATCGTCAAAAGCAAAGAGGACAAAGACCATGTCGCGCACCTGGCCGAAACCTTCGCCGCCTTTAGGAAACACCAAATGAAGCTGAATCCGAAGAAGTGTGTCTTCAACGTGAAGTCAGGCAAGTTCCTAGGCTTTATGGTTAGCAAAAGGGGGATTGATGCCAATCCCGCCAAAGTACAAGCATCACTCAATCTTGCCGAGCCAAAAACAAAGAGGGATGTCCAGAGCCTCACTAGGAGAATAGCAGCCCTGTCCAGGTTCATCTCTAATGCCTCAGACAAGGGGTTACCCTTCTTCAAAGCGTTAAAATTCCCAAAAACAAAATAGTTCATCTGGGAAGATGAGCAAAAAAAAGCCTTCAAGCAGCTTCGCGAGCACCTGGCTCAACTCCCAACGCTGGCTCGCCTAGCTGAAGGAGAAACTTTATACCTATACGTAACAATTAGTCTTGCCACCATAAGCGCGGTTCTGCTGAACGAAGAAGACAAAATCCAAAAGCCGATCTACTTCGTCAACCACACTCTGACGGATGTCGAGACCCGCTACGCCCTGCTCGTAAAAGTTGCATGTGCAGTAGTGGTAGTCGCTCGGAAGCTGAGACCCTATTTCGATTGCCATCAGATAGTGGTCTTAACTGATACGCCGCTGGACAAAGTCCTCGGCAAAGTGGAAAAATTTGGTAGGTTGGCAAAGTGGGCCTTCAAGCTCACTGAGTTCGGCATCAGCTACAAGCCGAGGACAACCATTAAGGCGCAAGCTCTAGCGGACTTTCTGGCCGAATGCTCGTACCAAGAAACGCTGGACGAAGAAAAGAAGACCTGGACTATTTTTACGGATGGATCCTCCACCGTAAATGGTTCAAGGGAGGGGATAATACTTACCTCGCCTGAAGGCAAGTCCTTCGAGTATGCACTCAAATTTTCGTTCCGAGCTTCGAACCAACGAAGCAAAATATGAGGCAGCGATTGCTGGCCTAGAGTTATGCATATCGTTGGAAGCCGAGCATGTCTGCCTGAACACAGACTCTCAGCTCTTTGCAAATCAGATATGAGGCAAGTACGAGGCGAAAGAGCTCTCGATGATCGCTTACCTCGCAAAAATCAAAACGATAATAGTGAGGCTGAGAACTTTTGAAGTCGAGGTGATCCCAAGGGATCAGAACGCACAAGCCCGATGCAGTCTCCAAACTTGCAAGTTCAACTCTAATTGAGCTGAACCAATCTGTTTATGTGGAGGTGCTGCGAGAAAGAAGTGTTGATGAAGCACCTGAAGTCTGCTACGTCGTACATGAACCGTGCTAGATGGATCCCATTCTAGCTTACGAACTTCGGGGAGAAATTCTCGAAGACAAAAACTTAGTCTCCAATGTAAAGCGAATCAACTCAAGGTTCATCGTCTTCAGAGGAGAGCTGTTGAAAAAATCCTTCTCAGCCGCACTGCTGAAATGTGTGGGACCAACGGATGCTGATTACATCCTCCGGGAAATTCACCTCGGCATCTGCGAAAACCACATCGAGGGGAGAACATTGGACCACAAGGCATTAAGGGCAGGATATTACTAGCCCACCATGATCCTAGATGCTAAGGAGCTGATCAGAAAATGCGAAAAGTGTCAAGAATTCGCACCAGTTATCCATCAGCCTGCCTGAGATCTCTAACCGATTTTGAATCCTCTTCCATTTGCTCAATGGGGTCTGGATCCTGATGCTCCATACCAAATAAATTGGTGATAGTCAGCATCGACTATTTCAGCAAATGGATCGAGGCCGAGGCAGCCTCGAACATCATAGAGCAAACTATCCGGAAATTTATCTAGCATAATATAATCACTCGCTTCGGAATTCCGAAGGTATTTGTCTTCGATCATGGGAGGCAATTTGACAACTTACCACTAAGGCGGTACACTGATCAATTCGGCATAAAGTTGGCTTATTTTGCAGTATGCCATCCGCAGAGTAACGGTCAGGCCGAAGCAGCAAATAAGTAGATTCTCAACGTACTCAAGAAGAGAGTAGTAGATCAAAATTCCAAGTGGATAGAGGAACTCCCGGGAACCCTATGGTCATGTCGGACAACTAAAAAAGAGGCTACGGGACATCCGCCATTTGAGCTGGTGTATGGATCCGAAGTCGTTCTTCAAGTGGAAATTGGCACAGAAAGTCTGCGGGTGCACCACTTCTCCGCCGAAGAAAATGAACAACTCATGAAAGAATCCCTCGATTTTTTGGATGAGGTAAGAGATTCGGCTCGAGACAGAATGGCTGCATACAAACAAAGAATCAGCAAGTTCTACAATCGAAGGGTCAATGCAAGACCACTCAAGATTGGGGACTTGGTGCTTCAGAATGCTGCAGCAGTTCAGAATAGCCGCATTCATGGGAATCTCTCAGCCACTTGGGAGGGACATACTGAAAAAATATCATGTATAAGGCCTTCGGGGAAGAACAATTTATGTAAGTAGTTAAGTACATCTTTTGAAATTAATTAAAGGCTATCGAGCCACCATCCTTATCAATTTTTCAAGTTTCTATTTTTTGTTTTCTATATTTTTGAAAAAAGGTTTTCCTTTGGCACTGTCCGGAGTATAGCCCAACAATGGCGCTATACTTCAGATTTCCGCCAAACCTGCCCAACAGGGAACAATGAATTCACAACCAAAGTATAGCCATATGAAGGCACGATACTTTGCACAAGTCAGTTTATTGGGGAAAAAAGGACGTGGACAAATCTGAAGCATAGCCAATCATTGGCATTGTGCTTTGGATAGTCATTCCCTCGAAAAATTTCAAGGATCGAGAGAATACTGCTCTTGGAGCCTAAGAATTCTAAGCAGCGAACTCATAGATTCTTCAAAAAAAAGAGAAGAGAAAAGAAAAAGGCAGAAAATTAAAAAATTTTACTAAGTAGTTCAGGGCAAAACGAAGCAAGACCTCGTCTCTGCCAGTAAAACCAAGCAAACACTTTAGAAATCCGAAGACTAACACTTCAGATTTTTGGGGGGCAAGAAGCACGCAACCTTGTCTCGCTTTTCCAGCAAGTGGGGACTGAATAAGTCCAAGCCGTAGATCGACACTTAGAAAATTTTTGCAAAAATTTACAAAATCAAGCAAAGAATTAAGCAAAAGAGCAAGGCAATTGGAAAAGAAAACAATGCATTTCAAGCAAACAGATTATGCTCGGGTCACCGAGCTACATAAAATCTAGTTCAGTAAACTCAAAGAAACCAAATACTAATTTGCAGTTGTCCACAAGACGGATAAAAGCAGCTGCTGAATTAAGTACAACTACTTGAAATTCAAAAGCAAGTAAAGAGTTTGTACATAAAAGCAAGCTGAAGCAAAAAGGGACTAGAGGCAAAAACAAATTTGACATATTCTGAAATTAAGAGCAAGTTGATCCGCAAGACTTCGTAGACGACTGCCCCAACCGAGTTCATATGCTTCAGCATTCGTAGGATGAGGCAGCTGCATCTTGACCAGCTAAAGTTTCAGCTCCAGCTGAGGACGAGGTAGGTTGAGCAAGGGCCTTCTCAGACTCTTTTTTCTGAGCTGCATCTTTCTTTTTCTTCGTAGATTCTTCCTCTTCTCGAGCCTCAACCTCACCCTGGCGAGTCAAAAAATCAATCTCAGTCTGGCTAGCAGTGGCCAAAAGAACGTCCTGCCCATTAGAAGCCCAGACTTCCACCTGATCCCAGTCAATGTTAGGATCGGCGTGGAATGCCAAACACCGAGCTACATTGAATCCATTCTTGAAACCCTCGTCATACTAGGCTTGGGTATAGATCCGGACCTGCAGGAGCTTCTGAGCCTCCTCGAGCTCAGTTTGAGTCTTGGCAGCCTCTTCCTTTTGAGCCTTTAGCAGATCCCGAGCCTCCTTGAGCTCTGAAACCGGGAGGACTCCACCTGTTTGGCATTCAGCTCGTTTTGGAGTTGTTGAACTTCATTTTGAAGATCAGTTTGCCTTCTAGGCGACTCCCCCTAAGTAGCAACATACCTCTGTCTGAATTCTTCAGCCATCATCCGCTGAATGTCCTCCTGCTGCAGCTGCATCTCTTGGATCTGAGACTCGAGGCCAAGAATATCCTCAACCCCGTACTTCTTCAGCAACTTGGATCCCTCCTCCAAGACGGGGAATATATGATTCTCCGGATTCTTAAAGACAGTCTTTGAGGCATTCCTGGCTGCGGCAGTCTCTTCTTCATCAGCTGTGGCACGGAGCCAAGCAAGATTAGCTCGGCATTCGGCCTTGTCTAGCTTGAACTTCAGCTCCTCGTTCATTTCCACAGCTAGAGTGTGGTTATGAACAACCTGAAGGAGTTAAAAGCCAATTAGCCGAAGTGATAAAATTAAATACTTGCGAATGTTAATTACTCGTAATATATATAACCATTAGTACCAGTCCAGATTCTCTTATACTTTCAATACAAAAATCCTACAGTTTAATATATTTAGGGAATAGTAAGAAAGGACAAGCCAATAATTAACACATACGGGATTAAATTAAAGAAATTAATTCACCATTTTTTCTCACAATCTTACATATACTTATCAGGTCAATAGTAATAAATACAAGAGAAATTAAGGTGTCACAAGAATGTTGTTTCTACTATGGTCATCCTTAAAATGACCATGACTATTCTTAATTCTATTGGTTGTTTTTATTTTTTGTTTTTAAAATACTTGGTTAAACCTCTTTTTTAATTTTTTCTGTTTTTAATTCTTTTTCTTTTTAAGAATTTAAGAATAGTAATGGTCATTTTAAGAATGATCATAGTAGAATTTTTATAACAAACCATTTATTATTACTTGTATTATATTTCTTTTTTATTAATAAAAGGCAAAAGCTAACGATCATTCTGGGGGCGTTGGATAAGCTGGTTAAAAGTAGAAAGATTAAATTAAAATAAACATTAATTACACCAATTGACGCGTGATTTTGTCATGCTTTCCCATATTAATACCACTTTAGGTAATATTTTAAATGCTTATCCAATGCCTCGGGGGTGTTCGTTAGCAAGATTTTGTTATAAATTTATACTATACCAAATTAATACCACTTTAGGTAATAAATTTGTACTATACCTAAATCGAATTAACTTAACAACTAAACCTTTCTATGTCTAGAAGAACCATGCAAATATTTGTGCCAAAAAAAATTAAAAATTCGAACCATACTTAGGTGCACCCGTTTTTTTTTGTCCAATTCATTATATATATAAATTTAAATTTGTTCATTTATAAATTTTATAATTTATATGCACCCGAGTATAAGATTTTGTAATTTTCTTGTATTTGGAAATATGATAATCCATTTTTTCCATCTCATCTAATCTTGTAGAACAAACTTATTCGATCCATCCGACATTTATAGTTTCACGTACTTAAAATATTTATTTGTTTCGATCACATCCCTTGATCACCCAACATTGCATGGAGTTATAGATGTACCGTCACCTTAATTTGTTAGTCTCTGATACATTGCTATTTTTAGTCGATCATACCATTGATTTCATTGTACATCTTTTAAGCATGCAAGATAACTCTTTGCATGTATATGAAGCATTATTGCAATATTATTGAACTCTTTAAGACTAAAGATCTTATGACGTATATATTCACGTATGCGCATGCAATGCTAGCCCCCTTCTTCGTTGTTTTTTTTTTTTGGAGAGTACAGGTGTAGTAAAACATGCTAATCAATGAAAAGTGGTATCATATTCACAAGTTGTATATATAAATACATCAAACCATGACTTGACAGCGGTCGAACGAATACTTACACCATATATACAACCACGGTATACTCGTCGTCGATTGCTAACGGTGCAAATTCATCAACAATGGAAAATAAAACGTACTTCTACAAAATTATGATTTCTCCTTCAAGTCAAACAAACAAACTAGTAAGTTCTTTCATGCATTTTTCTTAGTCATGTATACATAATTGCACCGTATTCTTTTTATAAGAAAAGATATTGTAATCTCGTCATAATTTTTTTTTTTTAATTTATATTGATCGTGTAGTTTAATTAATTTACTTATATTCTTGTTTGATGGGCAGAGAATACCCGAAGAATATGTGAATAAAAATGGACAACAATTTGCGTTTGATCATGTGAGGCTAAGAGTTGGCAAAGATGGTAGGGTTTGGAGAGTGGAGGTTTATAAGGAAAATGATCAAATTTGGCTAACACAAGGTTGGGAAAGGGTAGTGATGAACTACTCAATCAAACGCGGCGATTTTCTCTTGTTCAAGTATGATGAACGCGATTCTATGTTTCAACTCAAAATTTTTGACACGACCGGTTTTGAAATCGAGTATGATCATCAACAAGTGGAACAAATTTCGTCGGCATCCGAAGAGGAAGAGATGGATCTAGATGATGATGATGACGACGACCTTTCTTTTTCAGGTATATCTATCTAGCTAATTAAACATATGATGGAGTTACTTTGTTGTTTATTTGGCTACGTACTACTTGAGTTTTTGCTTATATTTTGGTAAATGATTAGAGATTTTATTAATGAGAGAGAAAAATAAATTAAACTAGGAAGTTAAAATACAAAAATAATAAAATAAAATGTGTAAGCTTATTGATTGGTATCTTTGAATTAAAGTAGATAGCTTAATTGATGACTAAAATCTTTATTATATGTTTCTGCTATCACATTTGGTTTAGAATTAGCTAGACAAGTACTTTATTTAGAAGCAATCCAATCAAAGACAAAATTACATGTGTACATGCTTAAAATCATTCGAGTACGTATTTCATATTAATTAATCAAATATATATATATATATATATATATATATATATATATATAGTCGTCTCTTGCTTATGCTTTGCATGAAATTGTGTCCTTTAATTAAATATATAGTTGTAATTAAACTTGTAATTAACTAACATTATTAGACATGCATGTGATTTAAAGTGAGATTATATACATACTAATCACTAACTTTAATTTATTTTTTTCCTTGTATAAAGAGGATGATGATGTTGCAGTACACGAGCCCATGGATCCGACAGATGTTAAAAGTAGGCTCGATGCTTACAAAACTAAAAAGCCTCATTTCAAAGTTATTATGCGACCTAGTTATGTCTCTAATGGATTTCGATATGTAAGCTCATACTTCTTCGATTAATTACTTGCTCTTTATTTCATTATTGTTAAAAAAAACACATACTTTATAATGTATAATTTATTGAAGATGATAAAAAAAAAAAAAAATTGATAATATTAGGGATCTTTAATTAATTTTCATATGGTGTAGTCATTACCAATTCGTCACGTGAGAATACATTTGAAGCTTTTGGAAGTTCAACAAATTCACTTGAAGGCAACAGATCATGAGAAGAGCTACCCCGTACGGTTAAATTTGTGCAATAAGAATAGTCAGGCGGCCCTCGGCTTTGGATGGAAAAAATTTGTACTTAACAATGATTTGCAAGCAGGCGACGGTTGTGTATTTAAGTTGGTCTGCCCTCAAAGCAATTCCTACCAGGTTACCATCTTTCGTGTAACCCGATCCTATATTAACTAGCTACATTCGTTAATAAGTGGTTTTTAAGTTTAGATGAATATTAATTAGTTTATTTGGATAGATCGAATTTAGAATATGAGGTATGACCAATGACGTGAAACCTTTGTACTTGACTGTTTACTCTGTATTTTATTAAGAGAAGGTATTGCGTGAGGCTTGACTCACCAAAAGCCTCACCAATAGTTTGGTGGGTCAAGCCTTAAAACAATAATCTCGGTTTATAGATGATATCATATAACCAAGAGAGGATATCATCAAGCCTATACATGATATCATGGAACCAATAGAGGATATCATTGAACAAACAGATGATATCATCTATAGGTGAGATGATATCATATATGTACACAGTAGATGATATTATCTAGGATGATATCATGGAACCAATAGAGGATATCATCGAATCAATAGAGGATTATCATAGATATAATAGATTATATCATATAACTGAGTTAAATACAAGATTGGGGTCTATGTTTTTACATTTTTCACCTTTTAGGACCTTAATGTTTTTTTTCACCTTCTGGGACATGTAGTTAACAATCTGGTTAGTTAACCCACCTTTAACTCACCTGAAAAAAAAAAAAAAAAAAACTTAGTTCCTTCAATTAATTTTTGGCAAAAAAAAAAAAAAACTTAGTCCCTTCCTTTAATTCTGTCAATTCTAAAAAACATAGGTCCTTATATCTAATCTCATCCAAAATTACTGAAGGAAATTAACCACAATTTTTTTAAACTGATACATATCCAAAAACTAGCCATATTTTTTAAAAATAGACTAATATTTGTAATACTTCTACTCTAAAAATAATTGTTTTATGATCAAATTGATTGTTCTATTTTAATTAGAACTAACAATCATGTTGTGTTTTTCTTCATATTTGTGTCGGAAACTAAATAAGTTGGGGAACCTCAACACTAACCCAACCCATTTAATATATGTGTCGTGTTGACCCGTTTAATTAACCTTGTTAGAAATCTTTGACATTAACTTGTATTTTTCGTGTTCAGCTCACGTCGTGTTATATGAAAAATTATTAGTCACATGCAATATATTAATCAATAATTCCATAAAGCATTGGGATTTTTTCTTAGATGGATTAAGTCGTGTTAATTTCGTGTTCGGAATCTCAACACTAACCCGACTTGTTTTTATTAAATGGGTTAAGTTTAATTAAATGTGTCGTACCATGTTGACTCGTTAATTAAACATGTTTAAAACTCTTAACACTAACTTGATTTTTTTCGTGTCCAGTTTGTCTCTTGTTGTCTGCTTCTGTCAGCTCTAATTATAATCACCAAACATTAATTAGTGGGTAATCCAAAATGAATAGGATTAATACAATTTTTTTTTGAAAGAATAATACAAATATATATATTCATGGTGTATAAATGTATTATTATTTGAAAAAAAAGAATAGTTGATTGCATAAAAAGATTATAACTAACCTAGGTTTGGGATTGAATTAGTAGAGGACTATTTTTTTTTGCTACTCTTTAGGGGATTAAGTTTTTTTTAACCCTAAGGGACTATCTTTTTAACTCAACCCAATTATAAGTTGGCCAGAAAGTACACATGAGGTTTCAAACGGTGAAAAAAAATAAGTGAGGTCCCAAAAAGGTGAAAAACCTAAAAACATAGGCCCCAATCTTATACTTAATTCTCATATAACTAATAAAGGATACCATGCATCCAACAAACTAATAGAGGATATCATCCAGTCTACAAATAATATCATATAACCATTAGAGGATATATATCATCTAGCCTATAAATAATATCATCTAGCCTGTAAATGATAGCATCTAAGCAATGGATGATATCATTTAGGCAGTGGATGATATCATCCAGCTTATAGATGATATCATAGAACCATTAGATAATATCATGAAACCTATATAATAGAGGATATCATTGAACTAATAGAGGATATCATGGAACTAATACGGGATATAATCTAGGCAATGGATGATATCATCCAACTTATAGAGGATATCATCTAGGCAATAGATGATATCATCCAACTTATTATAGATGATATAATCTAGACAATATAATTTATTTTATAAAAATAATTAAAAGGTCAACAATGGAGGAACCACTATTGAAGGTCCCATACTAAACTCATGGGTATAATATAACATGCTCATTTCTCAACCAAAATACATGCATTTGTTATCAAAACGCTCACAATTCAACATACAATCACATAGGATAATTAATCTTAACAATTATACACAACACAAGAAAGCCCAAATTGATTTTTTTTTGGGCATTTTTCGAAAAATCCGAGAATCTCAAGCAATTATCAAGCCAATTCATGCATAAATCATGGACAAATATTCAACAATCTTTATTTTCTCTCTCCTCTCCATTATCTTCAATTCTCTTAAACTTTCTCTCTCTTCCTCCATGGATGACATCTTTGATCCCGATAAGTTTTTCGCCGTTGACGATACCAATCTCACCATTGTTAAGGTTTGATTATCAAGTGTGCTGAAAATAGAAAGAGGAGAGAGAAAATGAGGAAGAAGATGAGAGAGTGTTTGCGGAAGGGTTAAGGTGGACTGACCAATGTTTGGGTGAGACTTGCCTCACTCAATACTTTGTGTTTTATTAATTAGTAATTTAGTATCGACATTATTAATTAGTACATGTACGTATATGCAAGGAATTAAAGAAATGGTGAATTGATCTCTTTAATCCTGTATGTTGTGGGTTTTTTTTTTTTTGTTTTTTTTTTCCCTTTTCCTTTTCCTTTCTAGTTAAATTATCACTTTAATTTAGCGTTATATTTATTAGGCCAAATTAGAAAATAACACCTGTAAAAACACCCAATTTTGATTATAACACCAAAACATTTCGAAATTTTATTATAACACCTCTTAAAAAACAAAAATTTTGGTTTCACAACCTAAATGGTGACGCCGTTAGAGAAACCATTAATTGGGCCCCACAATATACACGTGTCAATCAACTATTAGATTAAAAAACAAAAACCATAAAATAAAAAAAAAAACTTATTAAAAAAAAACCATGCCCAGCCCACCGCCCACCGGACGACCTCCCCCCCCCCCCCAACCAAAAACCACCAGCCCCCCTCCCCGCCCCGCCCCCAATTCCACCGAAACTCAGCCTGCAGCCCTTGAAACCACCAAGGGGCCCTCAAAATCCACCCTAGAGCCCCCGAAACCCACCCCACAGCCACCTAAAATAACCCACCTCACCTACCTCATTACAACCACAAACCACCCCCAAAGCCCCGCCTCTCCATTTCGCCCACCCTAAAATACGCCCTACCACGGCCGTCACCCCAACCCAACCCCCGTCGCTGTTTTCCCGACCGAAAACCGTCGCCGAACCACCTAGACCCAACCCCTAAAACCACCCCAAACCGCCGAGTGATTCTTATGTTGTGGTTGTGATTTGGGGTGATAAGGCTGGGTTAGGGTGGTTTTCGGGGAGGGGGAAGGGAGGGTTTTGCCGGTTTTGGTGGGACATGAGTTCTGGCGGCTTGGGTTAGGCAGTTGGCGGTGGGGGACAGGTGGTGCCGGTGGTGGGGTGGGCTGGGTTAGGTTGTTTAGGATTTTTTTTCTTTTTTTTTTGTTTATTATTTTTTTTTTTAAAACCAATAGTGTAGTGACACGTGTTTTTTATTCAATAAATATTTGACACTTGTATAATTGGGGCCCACTAACGGTTCCTCTAACGGCGTCACCATTTAGGTGGTGAAACCAAATTTTTTGTTTTTTAAGTGGTGTTATAATAAAATTTCGAAATGTTTTGGTGTTATAATCAAAATTGGGTGTTTTTGCAGGTGTTATTTTCTAATTTGGCTTATTTATTATGATGAATGATGAAAGCTAAAAGCCTAAAATTTTTCTCCACTATATATGATGAAGTAATCCCTTTGCTAATGGTATTTATAAAAGTTTTTACTTATTAAGTTTGAGGATTAATTTCACAAGCAATGGTACGGAGTAATATATTCCATATTTGGGTAGAATCAGACTCGGCTAGCGTGGTTCAAGCTGTCAGTAAGGGTGTTGATGGTTTAACCCCTATTCATTTGGTTTTGGATGATATTAGAAAGGATAGTTTGCACTTTAGTGCTTGTAATGTTTCACATGTGAAACACTCTCGTATGATTTAGGACAATATGATATAGACATTATGATTTTTTTTTTTTTTTTTTTTTTTTTTTCCACTTGTAACTGCTAATGGATGTTAGCATTAAAACTTGATATACATTTGTAATTTTCATACATTTCTTAAAAGCTAAAATACAAAAATAATGTTTTAAAAATCAAGTAACTACTCAAAAAATTAAGTCTACTAATTTTTATTCTCAAACTACATGATGACATGATTTTTTTTTGTAGAAATAAAAAAAACAATATCAAAATGCATTTAACGACCCGGGACATTACCTTATCCGAAGCATAATTGGGTTGCATTTTATCTTACTATGTGATGCATGTGAATAATATTTGGGCAGCATATATACGTCATCAGATCTTCTGCATTAACAGTGCAACAATGCTATACATGCAAAGAGTACAAGCTAGATAGATGTTCTAGGACATATAGAGGTACTCAAAATAGGAATGTACGTATGCATGCATTAATAACCTAACTACTACATTATCTACAACTTGTACTGAATTAAGGCAACGAACTCTGCCAAAATGGATCGTAGTACATGATTTTGGTAAAAATAATACTCGTAAAGTCCAATGAATCGCATCGGATAAATAATTTATGATCTATCATACAAGGTCAGATGAGAGTGAGTGAAGTGGGCTAACAAAATGCATATGTTGATATGTATGTTGTATCTCCCTGTATAAAATTTTCAATCAGATTCCCAAAAAAAATTGTAAGGAAATCTCTTAAAAATATCACCTATTGCTGCCCGTTTATCCTACACCACACCTTCCGATATCCTACACCACACCTTCCCTGCTTCCTTCACACCACAACACCAACTCTCCCTCGCACCAGCCCACTGCCCACGCAACACATAACAACCATCAAACTCCATTCTTCCCACGCACCAAATAGTAGTCTAATAATGATGATTAAGAAAAGGTGAGTGATAGAAGAAAGTAACGCTGGGTGTAATTCAGAGAAACCAAACCACTATTATTTCTACAAGATCATTGTTTCTTCCCTTGCTCAAAAATCTAATCTTGTAAGTATTATTTATATCCATTTCTTGTACGGAGTCATATTCTTATTATTACATACAGTATTAATTTTTGTTAGTACTTGTACAATTGATAAATTGAATGTATAAAGTGATATTTTCTTTCGGGGTTAAAAAGATAGATTATTGCTGTGTAATCAAGATTAAAGCATAAAGTGCTGTTATAATATGCGGATATTATATGGTTTCTTTTGCCATTTGGTTGAATTATTATATGATGTACTGAAATTGATCTATATGGGTTACCAGTTTACTACATTATTTTGCCTTGGAGTTTTATTTTTCTGTATATATAGTGGACCTTTAAATCGAATAAATATGTGTATATATACATATAAAATTAAAAATAATTATTGTAGTTTGTAGATCGACTTTTTTTTAATTATACAAGTTTGATTTTTTCTGAACATATATGGTCATTGTTTCACCCTTCTGGCAGAGGATTCCGGCGAAGTTTGTGAAGAAATATGGAGAAGAATTATCTGATGAAATATACCTAAACGTACCAAATTCTGAACAACCATGGAAAGTGGAATTACATAAAGAAAACAATGTTATGTCCTTAGGGAAAGGTTGGCAAGTTTTCATGGAGTTCTATGCCTTAGAATATGGGCATTTCTTAGCATTCAGATTTGACGGGGGTTTACAATCACATTTCCATGTCCTTATATTCGATAACCGTGATTATGATAATGAAGCTGTTAAATCCTAATCAATATGGAGTCATTAATTTATCACATTATTTAGTAAATTTAATACTTTATATCTTTATAAGGAAATACGTAGTACGTATTATATTTGGATAAAGGTCAACTTGAATTCGGTTAAGGTCAATATGGGTTTAGTCAATGTCATTATCACTAATAATTCACTACATGCATGTGATTTAAAGTGAGATTAAATACTAATCTTTATTTATAATTTTTTTCATTGTATAAAGAGGATGATGATGTTGCAGTCGACGAGCCCATGGAGCAGACAGATGTTGAAAGTAGACTCGAGGCTTACAAAACAAAAAACCCTCATTTCAAAGTTATTATGCAACCTAGCTTTGCCTCTAATGGATTTCGATAAGTAAGATCACACTTCTTCGATTATTTAATTACTCTTTATTTCATTTATTGTTAAGAAAAAAACGTACTTTAATTATTATATACGTACTATAATTTAGTGAAGATTGATGATAAAAAATATTATAATATTAGGGATCACTAATTAATTTTCATATGGTGTAGTCATTTCCAATTCGTCACGTGAGAAGATATTTGGCGCCTTTGGAATTTCAACAAATTTACTTGAAGGCAGCAGATCATGAGAAGAGCTACCCCGTCAGGTTAAATTTGTACAATCACAACAGTCAGGCTTCCGCGGGCTTTGGATGGAAAAAATTTGTGCTTAGTATTGATTTGCAAGCAGGTGACGGTTGTGTTTTTGAGCTGGTTTGCCCTCAGAGCAACGCCTACAAGGTTACCAACTTTCGTGTTGCGGCAACTGCATGATCGAAGTACATACTCTGATTGTAGCTTAATTAACTAGCTATTTTCATTATTAAGTTTATGTGAAATTAATTAGTTTACTTGGATTTGGTTGAACTTAGAGTACATTCTTGGGAATTTTATTATGGTCATGCTTAAAATGACCATTACTATTCTTAAATTCTATTGGTTGAATTTTCCTTTATTTTAAGTGCTTGTTTGGTTGGAAGATATTTCCCTTGGAAATGGAAATTCCTAGGCAATAGCTAATATATGCTGTGTTTGATTAGAAATTTCCTAGGAAATAAAATTTTCAATGGAAAAGTAAATTCCCACATAGCATAGGAAATAACTCACCAAGCCCCCCTAGGTGAGTGAATTCCTAAAATGCATAGGAAGTTATTTTCTAGGAAATATTAATTCCCATGATGTCAACCAAACACTTTTATAGAATTTTTATGCAATTATTTTCCATGGTATATGATTTTACATGGGAATTTATTTTCCATGTTAAACCAAAAAAACACTAAATACTTGGTCAAACCTCTTTTTTAATTCATTTTTTTTTGGAAATTAATTTCTGATTTTTCATAAATCTTTTTTTTTCATAATTATTTTATTTAAAATCACTATTAAATAAAGTCCAAAAATAAGATTAAATCAAAAAAATTAAAATCAAAAAATTGTACATCATTGTTCTTCAAGGTTATCCAATCTTCTTCAAGGTTCTTCATCCATGGATGAAATTAACCACTAATTCATGATCTTTGTCCCTTAAATTCACTCACGCGTTGACGGAGAATAAACACATGCACCGATCTACACACTATTTGCAAAAAAAAAATTGTTTTCGAAAATCGGGGTTCGCACGAATTTGGGTTGTTTCTTAATCCTACATAATAAATTTAAATGGACAATCTTAATCAAGGAATGCGAAATATGTGATTATATGTATTCGTAAATCTTAAATTTTCACTTTTTCGATGATCTGGGTTCGTGGAGCAAATCTCGGAAGCAAACGTAAAATATTTTCTTCAAAACCTTGTTTGATCCAAAAAAACGAAGACGAAATTTTAAATCTTATTTTCGTAATAGGTATTCACGAATATGCTAATAGGACATTACCTATTACAAACAATTTTATTGTTTATTCGTCTAAGACCATAAAAAGTTTTGTAATAATATTGAATGCTATGATCATGACTTTTGTGATTATATTTATGTTATCATCAAACAATTTTTATTAGATTATCAATGCAAATTCAATTTAACTATTAATAATTAATCTAAATTACAATGAAGACTTTAACACATTTATTATCAACAGAAGGTTAGTGCATATACATTACATGTCATTACATTATGAAACGATATATGCCAAGCTTAAGTCATAAAGTATTTATTTAGATTTGTAATTCAACTAATTAAATACCACCGAACAATGACCTATGAATTATTTATATAATCTGGCACTAGTGTGGTTTTTGAGAATTAAAAAAAATACTATAATATTATTTTCCAAAAAGATAACTAATCAACAATAATATATATGGGTAATGGTAGGCGTGTCGCGTACCTATCAAAAATAACCTAACAGACCAATACTAATGTAGACTGGCAAGTAAGGGTCGGATCCCAAGAGACTAAGGTTCAAAAATAATTAAATAGACTCGAATTTCTACTAAGCAAGAATCAATTATAATCAATAACTAAAGATCTAAAATTTAGGAAAAATTCGAAAATAAACTAATTAAGATGATTAAATCAAGCAATTAAAAACATCCAAGATCTAGCTTCACCACAACTATTATCGATGCAATTGTAATTCTACCCTTAACATACGATTTCAATTGAACGGGGAAAAGTAAACCCTAATAAATACCAAGGATCTCTCTCGAGTATCAATGGCTTCCCTAACATACAATCAATCCTATTCTCATGGTATCATGCATATTAGAGACATTAAACACATTACTCTCAATTCCCAATTATCAAACCCAACTACTCTCGTGTTGAGAATCAAACCCTAAATTGATTTACTCAAATCCGTTTATACCCAACTCTCGCTGTGATAAAAACAATGGAATAATCGCAATACTATAGTTACGTATAACCTAGCATTGGCATAATCACAATCAATTTAGCAATTCAATTGTTAAAGTTGTCAAAGAATTTAAAGATTTAATTCATGCATCAATAATAATAGGGCTACACTAGATCTTGAATTAAAGAATCTACTCACACATGATTAAAGAAACAAAAACAATAATAAATAATGAAAACATAATTAAATAACAAAGGATGAAAAATAAATACCAAATCTTGAATAAAATTGAAAGTAGAAAGCTTGAATCTTGAATCTTGAATTACAAAACTTAGAAAAATAGATGGAGAACTAGTTCTTAATGAGAGAATAAAAATAATATAAGGCTTAATGAATAATCAAGAAAAAAAAACAAGGCTAAAAAGTATTTATATGAGCCTAAAAAGATAAGAAAAACGGCTAAGCCTTGGCGCACAAGAATCCCAGGAGGCACGGACGTGCCTAGTGTGAGGCACGGACGTGCCTCTCTAAAAACAAAAACGCTGCTGAGTCTGTCTTCCAGGCACGAACGTGCCTGGTGCTGGGCACGAACGTGCCTGCTTCTTTACCAAGGCACGGACGTGCCTCTTCTTCTAGGCACGGACGTGCCTAGGGTCTTCCTTTGGCGCAGCTTCTGGCATAGAGGCACGGACGTGCCTAATGGGGAGGCACGGCCGTGCCTACCTCTAAATTGCCATTTTCTTGACTTTTCTTTAATCTCCAAACTCCATGGGCTTTGACTTACTTTGTGGATCTATAATTCATCCAAATTAGCTCCATTATTCCTGAAAATCATCAAAAACAACAAAACTACCCATAAAAGCATCGGATTATCCAAAGTAGAGCAAAATACGCCAAAACGGACTCAAATACTCAACTAAACTAACAAAACTAACTAAAAACCAACCAAATAATATACACAAAACACGACTTATCAAACTCCCCCAAGCTAAACTAATGCTTGTCCTCAAGCATTTAACCATGAATCACAAGGGAAGAGAATGATAACTCCTCAAACAATCACAATGTGTCATCAAGTTCAAAACCACGATAAAAACGAAATCAAGAATCAACATGTACAAAAACCGCCATTCATCTCATATACTTAGACTTGACAACCAATCTTACCACACATCTCCCCATACCTACTCACACAAACATGAATAGTTCTCACTTTAGTTGTGAAAAATAAAAAACAATAACGCTCATGTGTTTTCGGGGTGAAATATGAAGCCACTCAACCTAAGCATAGCATGCATATCAACTTCACACAACCGGCCTCTTTAGGCTTGCAATGCAACTTTCTCCACTTTTAGTGATTGATGCAAACACGGAAATCATGAAATCCATATTAAGTAAGCTCGGTAGATAAGGGTTGGACGACGTAATTTGGGAATGTGGTGCTCAAAATAAAACAAATCCTAATCCCACTACACATTCAAATGTCGGGTTCAAGCCAACCTTATTTCCTCCAACTTCATACAATATAAACATAGCCCTTTTATTCTTTCTTTCCTTTTTTTTTTCTTTTTTTTTTTTTTACAAAGAGGAGGGAATTAATAAATAAAAACAAATGGAAGAACTCTCAATTTTTCAAAAGCCTTTAAGACCACTTTTCTTTTCTTTCCTTTCTTCCCTTTTCTAATATCCCCTCTTTCTCTTGTTTTCTTTCTTTTTTTTTTTCATTTCGCTTCTTTTTTTTTCAACATCATTCACACTCATAGGTAGGGGTGAAAGTTCGGTATTCGGTTTGGATTACACCCCAAACCGAATCCAAACCGAATTATTTCGGTTTCGGATTTTTGAAACCGAATCCAAACCGAATTTGGATTCAATCCAATCCAATCCAAACCGAAATAATTCGGTTTTGAGAATTAAATCCAATCCAAACCGAAATAATTCGGTTTTGAGAATTAAATCCAATCCAAACCGAATTTTTATGGGCTGCTGTATTAGGCCTTAAAATCTGGGCTTTTTATTGGGCATATAATTTTGGGCCTTTTAAGGCCTAAATTTTGTACCTGTTCCTGAACAAAATTAAAGCATAAATTTTAACATACAACTTTCACAAGTCACAACCATATGCCATACTGCCATAGTAACTAAATTGTCCAGCCATACTGCCATAGACCATAGTAATTAAATACACTTACA